AATGAGCAAAAATAAATTTGAACATGAAATCTTTACTAGGTCAAACTAGGCTTTCTGTATCACAAATTTAAATACAAATTTAATGGTTCCAATGTTAAAATGATTTCTAGTACAAAGCACAACGGATTGATGCAATTTTTTTAAGCTATTGGGATCAAACAATTTTGAAAGTGTTGCACGCTAGATTCATAGTGTAATAGGTGGTAAATTTGGTTGAAATCATAAAGAAAATCAAATACTTACCAACTGTGGGGGTATCTTGAGTTTGAAACCCATCCCTATAATTCTTGTTTCCAGTGACCCTAGTCTTGTCCGGGCCGTCCCCGATAAACATGATACCAACAAGCTCGTTACGAATAATGACTTGCTCATTATAAACCCCAGTCTTAATATAGATCACAAAAGGGACTTTATAGTTCGCTCCGATGCTCTTTATGGCATCATTAATAGTTTTGAACTGCCCGCTCCCATCCTGAGCCACAATAATGTCTGGTTTGATGTCAGCCGGCGCAGAGGCCAACAGCTTCCTTTGCGTCGGCGTGACCCACCCGGGAAAATCATTTGTACCCGTCGACGCTCCGCCACCGAGCAGCCTCCGGTGCGGTGCAGCTGCAGTGGGGTTGGTCTTCTGCATAATCCTTGTCCATCCGTCGACCATGGCCAGACAGTTGCAGGCCGCCATGCCAGACAGTGTCAGGATCTCCCTCATCTTGTGCCCGTCGGGGCCCGTGGTGTTGGCAAACGCGTCGACGCATACCTCCTGAAACGTGAGGGTGGCCTCGAGCCAGGTCTTCAGGTTGTCGATGGACTTGTCCCCCGTGGCGGGGTCGAACTTGTCGATCTCGGCCACGGACCGGTTTAGGTCGTTCATGGCGGTATGGATCTTCATGTCGCAGATCTCGAGGCCTCGTTTCGCCATGGGGTCTGTTGTGGTCGCCTTCAGGGGCTCGGAGTCCTCCAGTGCGATTTCTAAAGACTTTGATGCTAACTGCACCGCTAGCTTGACCAGCTCTTTAGGGTCTGTTATGTTACCCGAGTATTTCATGATGTTGGTCATGCAGTTATCCTTGATGAGGGATGAGTTGCATAGGTCTTGTATGATCTGTGGCACCGGCCCAGCTGGCGCAGCTGGGACGACTCGACTGGTTGTGGAGATGTTGGTTTCTTTAGAGCGGTTGTTGGTGTTGCTATAAGCAACACCTGCGACGAACCCCATGGCAACAAGGAGGACAGAGGAGATGGCCATCATGAACATCTTCTTGGTCATCTTCTTTCGGTAACTGTTGTTGTCGTCGTCGCTCATCTTGACGAAGAGGGGGAAATGTGGTATGAATTTGAATAAATTCGTTTGTTCTGTTAAAATGTGTGATTAGGGTTTGTATTTGGGGTGTTTTTTTTAATTTATTGGGTGAGAAATTGGTCCCTTGACTACTCTTGCTCTTTACCTGAATGTTATTGTTTTTAGTTTCTTCGTCATCTTCTTCTAGTGATCATCACTGTCGTTGTCTTGCCTATCTTGATGTGTACGTATTCTTTTTTAAAATTTGTGATTGGATTTTTTTAACCTTTTTATTGGGAATGGTAATTTTTGTTTTTTGAATTTTTTTTTTTTACTTTTTTATTTGCTCTTGCTTCTTATGTGGGTGTTATTGTTCACATCTTAATCTGGATTTTTTTTTCTCTCTTCTAAAATTTCTTGCATACAGAGAAAAAATAGGTGTCACGTTTTAGCAATTTCTACAACTTCTTTTTTCTATTTATTGCTTTTTCCCTTAAAATCTAAGCAGATCTAACGCAATTTAAGAGAATTATTTAATTATTACTAATTTACTAATTTTTTAAATTTCATCCAACCAAGCCACTGGTATCCCTTTCTCGTCTTTCTCCAATCCCCGTTTATTTTTTTATCGGTTCGTACCCCGCCGATTTTGAATTCATAAATTTTTGCATAAAAATAATTTTTTTACAATATACATAATGATATTTATTTTATATATTTTCAAATGTTTTTTTACCACATTCATTATACTTTGTTACATTTGCGTGTCACATTTTTGTACAACACTGCTATAGAACTATATTACATAATATCAATTTTGTTTCATTTGGATGACAAACTTTGGTAGTTCTGAACCACCATAGCACGAATGTAGTTTCATTTCTGTGTCGACAACACTAAGTAGCCATACAAATGTTTCATTCATTGCTAACGGATTGAGTAAGTCACGACAAATTCAAAGTATAATTTGTTGCAGCGGCGAATCCAGAACAGGTTAGAGCAGTAAGCCGCATTTAAAAAGCGGTAGAGATGGTTGGACCGCAACCCTAAAAACATTGAAATATATACCCAAAATCCAAAATTTACAAGTGCTATACGAGTTTTGGATCCGGGTAGGGCTGGGCTGTGGCCCGGGGCGGCCCCTAAAGAACTAGGTACAAATATGGTTCCACTAATAGCATATCAGTAAAATATCATTATCAAAATAATATATTAAATTTCCTATCATCATACCAATTTAATATTGACTGATATCATCCAAACTCATCAAGTTAGTCTTGTAAAAATTATTGATACAATTTTTTATATAATATTTGTACATCATAGCGACGTGGTCGAAAGAGTCAATTATAAGGGATAAGATCAGGTGACTAAGGGGACTCCTTAGTCACATGACTAAGTCTAATCCAACCCTATATTTATATTTTCATCCAATGGTTTAAATTGATCTCATTTAATGAAGGGGTACGATGGTAATTACAGGAATTATTTATTAATTTAAACAAAATAAAAACGGACTCACTCATCCCCTGTTTCGCTCGCGCTCGGCGGCTTTCGCCTTGGGTTTTCGGAGGCACCCTTTTCCATTTTTATTGTGGGAATTTGTTCCCAATGCAACTATCATGTGTCATGCAACTACGAGAGAGAGAGAGTTAGTTTTTCTGGTGACAAAGGATGAATTTTGTAGGTCTATTTTGTAATGTTTGTAACTCCAGTTTGTAATGTTTATATCAATTCGGTTTGTATTTTTTATGATTATTGTTTGTCATTTTTATCTATTATGTTTGTAATGTTATATGATTAATTTGTATGTATTATAATTTGTAATGTTTATTTTTCTAGTTTGTATACTTTATGTTAAGATTTGTATACTTTGTATTTATTGGTTTGTAATACTAGTTTACCGATTTGTATTATGAGTAGCGGTATTCTGTATGGTTAGTATATTTTGAATTGTTTGTCGGTTTCTTTTGTAACGTTCTTAAGCTTTGTTATTTTTGTAATGTTTGTCAATTTCCTTTGTAATGTTTGTAAGTTTTGTCATTCTTTTCTATCATGTTTTTAAAGTTTGTATACTTCTTATTTATGCTTTGTATTATTGGTTTGTATTGTAATTAGTTGAAATTTGTATTTGTATACAATGTTAGTATTATTTTTATACTTTTATGATGTGTTTGTATATTTTTATGATCTGGTTCGTATACTTTGCGTAATATTAATTTGTATATTTTTAGTTATGGTATGCATACTTTGTAGCTATTTATTATTAATGCAAGTAATATTATTTTGTACAATGGTTTGTACCTTCAAGTTCTATCGATTAGTATTTTTAGTAGTGATATTTTCTATTTAGTATTCTTTTTATATAGTGTTAACTTGATTTGTATACTTATATGATAGTTCATATAGTTTTTAATATTGCTTTGTATACTTTTATGATATAGTTCATATACTTTGTATTTTTTATTTATATATTGTTATAATTTATTTTGTATACATGATAATATTAGTTTGTACATATTTATTATATGATTTGTAAACTTTTATATTCTGATTTGTAAATCACATATTTTTAATTTTTGCATTTTCATTATATTTTTTGTATATTATATATTTTTACTTTGTATGATTTTCTGGTATGGATTGCACATTTTGGATGTCGCTGGTGATTTTTATTTTTAAAATAAAAAAAAGCTGATAAAGAAAACAAACAAAGACGCACGAAAGACTAGAGAGGGAGAATTAAAACATAGATTAATAAAGAAACAACCATGCATTTGAATTAAAAAAAAAAAAAAAAGAAGGAGACGTGCGGCTGTCCCGCGAGAGGGAAGGGGAAATAAAATAATAAATGCAATTAGTTTGTTATAATACCCTAACTATCTTTTTAATTAATTAAATATCTCTTCCCACTTTTTAATTATTAGATTACCAATAAGACAATATGATAAAATTATCTATCATCCAATCAACTTGTCGATATAGGCTTATTTTTATAGTGAGAGAAGAAGAAAGGGAAGTGGAAAAAGAGAGGAGACATTTTTTTGTCAAAGTTTCTAACTATTTGTAGCTGGTTTAATGTTACAAAATGGAAAGTTTTCCCCTAATTTTTTTCGGATATAATTGGTATTTTATTTTCTTTTCATGGTTAGGTACACAATATTTCTCTATAGTTACTACCGCAATTCTATTTCGTCCACAAATTTTCACTTTGGTGAATTAAAACATAGATTAATAAAGAAACAACCATGCATTTGAATTGTTCAACTTCTTTTTTGGTTCAGAGAGAGAGCTCCGAGAAAATAGGAAAAGAACATTCGAAGCGAAAGTCCAAGTTTAGGGTTTTCTGGCCGTCAGTATGGCGGCGGTCTCCCCGCCGACGTCACCAGGGATGGCGGACAAGGTTTCGGACGTAACTAGTGGTGTCCGGCGACCGTCGGAGGTGTCTTCCACCCCGGACGGGAAAAGTGAAAGAGAAACGGTTCAACCCAAAAAGAAGGTCCGTCCGTTGGTTTTTGAGCAGAGCGCGGGGGGGGATTTTGAGGGTACAGATGCAACGGATATGGAGACGGAAAAGGAAAAAGGGAACTTTGGGACCAGCTCGGCGGGAAAGGGAACCTGGGGGAGGAGCTTCAGTGCGGTTCTTCAAGAAGATAAGTGGTATGTGGAGGAGTCTGATTCTGAGGATGTGGCAGCAAGGGAGAAGGAAGAGGATGATGAGATGGACGCCGAAGAAGATCCAAAATGCCCTACGATTACGTTCACTGCGGCGGAAAAAATACGATGGCGTAGGGAGTGGAGGTCGGCGTTGGTAGTGAAAGGACTGGGCAGGAGGGTCTCCTATATCCCGCTGGCTCGAAGACTGAACTACTTATGGGCGAGGAATGGGGAGATTCAAATCTCTGATATGAACAATGGATGTTTCCTGGTACGGTTTCGAAACCAGAAGGACTATGAATGGGCAATGGAGGGGGGACCCTGGCTTCTCGGTGACACCTACCTTACGGTACATCGATGGTTTAAAGGTTTCAATCCCTGGAAGACAGAGATAACGACAACTATGGTATGGGTCCAGCTGCCGGAGCTGCCGATAGAGTTCATAAACAAGGAAGCAGTTATGAAAATTGGTCAATGGTTGGGGAAGCCGGTACGCGTTGATCGGGCTACGGAGATTGGGGCTCGTGGCCGGTTCGCAAGACTTTGTGTGGAAGTGGATTTGACACAACCACTGTTATCCCAGTATAAAATCGAAGGGACGACATACTTGATCCGATATGAGGGCTTGGATGACTTGTGCACTAACTGTGGGACTTATGGCAAGTCTGGAGGGAAGTGCCAGTGCAATTTAGCAGAGAAGGCGATGGAGACGGAGGAAGTTCGGGTGGACGAGATGGAGAAGAGAGAAGATCCGACCCAAGGGCGCACCTATGGGGAGTGGATGGTGGTTAAGCGCCGTGAGAGGAGACCTGGTAGGGGAGTAAGTCGGGGGAAGGAGGGGAAAGGTGAAGGAAGTGAGTCGAATAGGTTCCAGGCTTTTGCGGGGGAGGTGCACCAAGTGAGGGTGGAGGAAGAAGCTGTTATGGTAGATAGAGGGGAAGCGGGGAAACCTAAGGATCAACCAACGGCTACCCATCCCTTAAATGAAGGCTTATCCCATGCAGAAGGCCATGCACACCTCGTAGAGGAAGAGGCCCAAATGCACAGTTCCCAAGGGAAGAGTGCGAAATCGGATGCTCCCAGTCAACGGGAGACTATGACAAGTAAGAAAGAATCCGTGGCTGCTAAGCCACAAGGTGTGCAGACAGCGAAAGGAAATGCGGGTGTAAACCCAGGGAAGAAAGGTGAGGGGAAGAAGCAGGGGCAGAGGAATGAGGGTATAAAAAATGTAGGGCTGCGTATGGATACTGGCGGCACGAGTACACTAAAGAAAGCTGATGGTGCGGGGAACCGATCCCCTTCAGTGCATAAATGAGACTATTATGTTACAACTGCCGTGGGCTGGGAAACACACGAGCAGCTAGAGCTTTGCGGTCGTTGGTGCGACGGGTTTCCCCCCAAGTTGTGTTCTTAATGGAAACAAAACAACTTCGGGATGAGAATGAGGCTTTGAGGAAGGAGATGGGATTTAGTCATGGCGGAAGCTGGCCGTGCGATGTGACTAGGGGTGGTCGTGCAGGAGGATTGTCAATCTGGTGGTTAGAGGAAGTTAAGGCAGAGATTGTCGAGGGCTCCCCAAACTTTATGGATCTCAGAGTAGAGGAGGGTCAGGATAAGGTGTGGAGGTTTACTGGTATCTATGGCTGGGCTGAAGGGCATGAGAAACATCGAACACGGGAACTAATCCGCGATCGGGCGAGGCAGTGGGAGGGACCATGGATATGTGGGGGAGATTTTAACCAAATATTATCGGACCGAGAGAAGAAGGGGGGTAACCTCGGGAATGAAGTGGAAATGCGAGATTTTGCTGATAGCTTAATGGCGTCGGGACTACATGATCTAGGCTTCCATGGATATCCTTTTACGTGGGAGAACAGAAGACGAGGAGGGGGATACATTGAAGAGAGATTGGATCGGTATGTGGCAAATGATGAGTGGCAAAACCTATGGCCGAATGCGAGAGTATTACACTTGGATGCAGCTCGTTCTGATCATCGGCCTATTGTTTGTGAGACGTTGGGGGATGAAGATGATATCAAGTGGGGCTGGAACTTCCGGTTTGAGCCAATGTGGGTAAAACATGCGGAATGCGCCGAGACCATAAAGGAAGCCTGGAACTCAGCCCCCGGGAATGCGACTGTTAAACTTGCAAATGTGCAGGAGAGGCTCGATCGCTGGAGCAGGGTCACGTTCCCCAATTTTGGCCGCCAGAAGGAGAAGATTCGGCGGGCTTTAAGGGCTTTGGACAGGAGGGAGAAAACAGATGAGGTTTTAGAACAGAAACAAAAGCTCCAAATTGAGCTTGAAGAATTGGAATGTGATGAGGAGATTTTCTGGAAGCAACGGTCGAGAGCGGACTGGCTCCGGGAGGGCGATAAAAATACGAGCTTTTTTCATAGAAAAGCTACCATGCGTCGAAAGCGTAACTTGATCCGCAAGCTGAGAGATGAGTCAGGAGCGTGGTGGAGAGGTAATGAAGATGTCTCAACGTGCCTTACTAAGTATTTTAATGATTTGTTCATGGCTGGGGATCGACCGGCTTTGACGCCAGTGTTGGATTCGGTTAGAGATCGGGTGAATGATGAAATGAACGTGTGGCTCGACCGGCCTATGACCCGGGATGAACTCTACGAAGCACTTCGACAAATGGGAAAGAGGAAGGCCCCTGGTCCGGACGGTATGTCAGTCTTGTTCTTTGTGAATTATTGGGATATTATCGGGGACGAGGTCTCCGAGTTGTTGATTGGGGCGTGGGATAGCGGGGTTATGCCGGCTGAGCTGAACCATACCTTGATTGCACTGATTCCAAAAGTTAAAGATCCAGTTATGGCAAAAGAGTTCCGACCGATAAGTTTGTGTAATGTGATGTACAAGGTGCTCTCAAAGGCGATGGCGAACAGATTAAAAGTTTTGTTGGATAAGATCATCTCACCAGAGCAGAGCGCTTTTGTTCCGGGACGTTTTATTGCTGATAACGTGATGACGGCCTTTGAATGTTTCCACACAATGAAGAAGAAAACGAAGAACAAAACTGGCTACTTAGCGGCGAAGACGGATATGGCGAAAGCCTACGATCGGGTTGAATGGTGGTTCCTGGAAGAGATGATGAGTAGAATGGGCTTTGGCGGAAGTTGGATTCAGAGAATTATGATGTGTGTAAAGTCAGTGACCTACTCTATCCTGGTGAATGGGCACCGATCACAGTCTTTTGCCCCCGGAAGAGGAATTCGGCAGGGAGACCCGCTGTCACCATATTTATTCCTATTGGTAGCAGAGGGGTTGTCGAGTTATGTGGAGTTAGCGGTCAGGGAGAAGAGGATTCATGGGCTATCGGTAGCAAGGGGAGCGCCCGTGATATCCCATCTTTTTTTCGCTGACGATTCTATCTTTTTTGCCAGGGCAACAGTGAAAGAAGGGTTGGAGCTTCGGCGGATCCTGGATGACTATCAATCGGAGTCCGGACAGTTGGTCAGCCTTGATAAGTCGGAGGTTACTTTTGGATCGAATGTGAAGGCGCACCAGCGGCTGATGGTGAGTTCGACGTTGGGAATGAAAGTGGTTGAAAAGCATGACAAGTACTTGGGCCTGGTTACTCAAGTTGGGAGATCGAAGAAAGAGCTGTTTGTGTACTTAAAGGACCGGGTACGGAAGAAATTGTCTGGATGGAAGGAGCGGACTATGTCAGCTGCGGCTCGGGAGGTCTTGATTAAGTCGGTGGCCCAGGCTCAGTTAACCTACACGATGTCAGTTTTTAAAGTACCGGAAGCGATTATTGATGAGATCCACAGCTTAATTACTCAGTTTTGGTGGGGTCAGAAGGGTCAGGAGAAGCGGATTCCGTGGATTGCGAGAGAAGGATTGATTTGTTCAAAAGCACAAGGGGGGTTGGGCTTCAGGGATCTCCGTGGCTTTAACATCGCCCTCCTCGCGCGCCAAGTGTGGAACCTTTATACTCGACCAGAATCTCTAGTGGCGAGGCTGCTGAAGGCAAAATACCACAAGAAGGTATCGATTTTAGACGCGCGAGTGGGAGGGAGCCCGAGTTATGTTTGGCGAAGCCTCATGAGTGCGCAAGATTTTTTGGTGGATGGACTGCGTTGGCGTATTGGGAATGGGGCATCGGTAAGAGTTTGGGGTGATCGCTGGGTACCAGCCTCGCCGGGCTTTATTGTTCAATCCCCTCCGACTGGTCTCCCGGTGGATGCAGTGGTTCGTGATCTGTTCGAAGAAGGTACTGAGCAGTGGGATGACACGGTGCTCGAGAGCTGTTTTTCAAAGGAAATGGTGCAAGCCATCCGACAAATTCCTCTACGAGACTTGGGGGAGCCGGATCGCATGATATGGGCTGATAGTAAGGACGGGTTGTACACGGCGCGTGACGGATATAGAACTTGGCTGGGGAAGCATCAACAGGAGAAGGGGAATCGAAGTGTGGGGGAGCCAGCCATGTGGAATCGCCTTTGGGCGATGAATATACCTCCAAAGATTAAGATTTTTATGTGGAAATTTATGAGGGGGGCTCTAGCTACTGGTGAGCAGGTGAACAAGCGGAATCCCAGGCGAGGTGACTCGTGCCCGTTCTGCAATCAAGTGGAATCGCAAGTTCACTTATTCCATCAGTGTATGTGGAGCAGCAGGATTTGGAGGACCTCGCGGGTTGCCCATTGCTTTGACTTAAGAGAGGATGCGAGCTGTTTGGAATGGTTTTGGAAGGTGGCGAAGACGGTCCCGGAAGATGTACTAGAGGATTGGGTGGTCCTATTATGGATACTTTGGAAAGAGAGGAATGCTCAACTCTTCAATGGGACAAAGATGGAGGAGATGGAGATTGTTCCCTGGGCGGAGGCGTTCCTTGATGAGTACCGGTTGCACCAATCGGAAGGCGAGGAAAATCATTTAACGGGGGATACCCAAATTTGGAAAAGGCCGCAGGAGGGGAGGCTGAAAATTAACACGGACGCGGGCATTGGAGATGAGGGTGTAGGGCTGGGTGTGGTGGTTCGAAATCATATGGGAGAGTTTGTTATGGCAGCTGCGAAGCAGGTGAGGGGAATACAGGATCCGACAATGGGGGAGGCACTCGCTGTCGAGTTCGGGTTACAGCTGGCGCGACAACACCATATGGTGAGCCCGATTATGGAGGTGGATTGTGTGAATGTGGTGGCAGGGGTCAGACGAGCGGCAGGGATACAAACCGAGCTAGGGGTGATCTGCAGGAATATCAGTAAGCTGCTAGAGGAGACAGGAGGGGGGACGATCCAACATGTCAGTCGAAAGGCTAATGAAGCTGCGCATATTATGGCGCATGTTAGAACTTTATGGGATAGAGCGGAAGTTTGGTTTGATAGGCCTCCGCTGATTCTGCTTGATCAGCTTAAAATTGATGATGTAACTTTTCCATATCAATAAAAGCTGAATGCAGGTTCTGATCAAAAAAAAAAAAAAAAAAAAAAAAACCATGCATTTGAATTAAAAAAAAAAAAAAAGAAGGAGACGTGCGGCTGTCCCGCGAGAGGGAAGGGGAAATAAAATAATAAATGCAATTAGTTTGTTATAATACCCTAACTATCTTTTTAATTAATTAAATATCTCTTCCCACTTTTTAATTATTAGATTACCAATAAGACAATATGATAAAATTATCTATCATCCAATCAACTTGTCGATATAGGCTTATTTTTATAGTGAGAGAAGAAGAAAGGGAAGTGGAAAAAGAGAGGAGACATTTTTTTGTCAAAGTTTCTAACTATTTGTAGCTGGTTTAATGTTACAAAATGGAAAGTTTTCCCCTAATTTTTTTCGGATATAATTGGTATTTTATTTTCTTTTCATGGTTAGGTACACAATATTTCTCTATAGTTACTACCGCAATTCTATTTCGTCCACAAATTTTCACTTTGGTGAATTTTTTAAATGGGTTATAGGTATAATATGCCCCTCTACTATGACGTTTTATCAAACATGCCCCTCTACTATTTTTTACATCAAACATGCCCCTGTACTTTGTAAAAATGATCAACATGCCCTTTTGTTAAAATTTTCATCCAAAAATCGTTAACCAAGGCCGAACTTTAGTTTGGGCGACACAAATGACTAAAATATCCATAATAAATTCACTTTAGAATTTTTTTCGTTCTTTTGTATAATCAAATCATTCAAATAATTTCACTTTGAAAAGACCCAGTTAAATAAAACAGGGGACAAAACTGACATTTTTCCTCCCATTTTCCGATGTCGGGTCATCTAAATCTCGGTTCAACCACGATTGACGATTTTTTCAATGAAAATTTTAACATAAGGGCATGTTTAATCAAATCATTCAAATAATTTCACTTTGAAAAGACCCAGTTAAATAAAACAGGGGACAAAACAGACATTTTTCCTCCCATTGTCCGATGTCGGGTAATCTAAATCTCGGTTCAACCACGATTGACGATTTTTTCAATGAAAATTTTAACATAAGGGCATGTTTGATAATTTTTTCAAAGTACAGTGGCATATTTGATGTAAAAAATAGTAGAAGAGCATGTTTGATAAAACGTCATAGTAGAGGGGCATATTCTACCTATAACCCTTTTTAAATTACCAACCACTAAAACATGAAGTTATGCAAGTGTTTATTCGTCCAACGAATATCAACAGATTTCGCTCTTCAGATTTCAATGGTTGAGCTTTTAGACACATATTTAGGGTTGGTTTTGGTTTAGTGGCTTAGAACAAAAAAGCTTCATTTTCGCTTGTATGAGCCACATATGATCTTATCATTCAAAAACTATTAGTACAATGAGTATACAAAAAATTAGGTATTCATAAAAAAAGTAGGTAATGAAACTTCTTCTGCACTTTTTTCGTTTCGATTGAATGACTTAAAGCTATACATAATTCAATCGGAAATTTCCCTACAGTGGTCAAATTACCACAGAGAAAATCAAAGAAAAACAAAATAACAAAACTGTGTCTTTTTTTTTTTTTACACTTCCACACTTCCCCACTAAAAAACAAATTAAACAACCTCAACAAAAAATACTTATTTATTCATCCCAGAAGTGTATGGCACAGAAGTAGCCGTAATCCAATCATCGCCTTCCACGTACAACTTCCCGGGGGCGAAATTTGCAGCCTCTGCAGGCCCAATGTGCTTAATTCCAGGCCAATTGACCCGACCCGTCTGAACCGATCCGGGACCCGTGTTCCCAAACTCCGCATACCAAAGTGTCTTGAGCCCCAAGTCACCCTGCCACGGCAACCACCCTTCGGGGGCGATAATGCCGTCAATCACAGTGTGCATGATCACGGTCCTCGAGTACTCCTTCCACGGGCGCCCGAGGTACGCCTTGAGCTTGTCCTTGACGGGCAAGTAAGCTGGGTCGCCCAAGATGTGACTATTCATGATCACAATGGCCGAGTCACCGTTCGGGTCCTGCCGCCCTTCCGCGGTGACGATGCACTGTTGGTTGTCCAAGGGCTTCCTGACAATCATGGTGCAGTTCTGAAGGACGGTGCGAGCGACCCCAAAAATGAAGTCGATGGTACCAGAGATGACACAATCACGGAAGAACTGTCGGTTGGATTGTGGGTATAGGGTATCCTGGTAGCCATCGAACTGGCAGTTGAAGACGACGGAGTTGTCGGATTGGGAGCGGTAGGCCACGGCTTGGTGGCCGATGGCTCCAGCCGAGTTCTCGAACCCCATGTCTTTTGCTATGAACCCTGGGGCCAGTATTACTGCATAACAAAAAAAAAGTGATGAAAGTGATTTAAGATGCATTTCATAAAAAAAAATTATTTCAGATATATTCATTTGTTAAAGTGTTTGATACTTGTACGTGAGATAATGTTTATGTTAAGAAGTGTATATGATTAATGACTGAATCTCTTTTGATAAATCGAGTTACTGTGATTAATTGGTTCTCTAATCTAGAAGTCTTATGTATGAGTCTCGGTTACTCTACTTGTTAAGCACATGATATTTTGTTGACTAGGCAAACTTCAATTTTATGAGTTATCTTTCGTTTGAGAGGATGTATGACTCATAATTGAACTTCTCGCAACAAATCCAGTTATTGAGACCTAATAGTTAAAAAAACAAATACTTACCAACTGTGGCAGTATCGGAAGTACGTGTCCCTTCCGCAAAATTCCTCCTGCCGGTGATCTTAGTCTTGGTCGGACCGTCACCGATCATCATAAGCCCATTAGCCCACCGGGGAACAGTGACCTGCTCGTTATAAACGCCGGCCTTAATATGCATAATGAGAGGAACCTTATGGTTCTTCTGAATGCTTTGAACTGCCTGGGCAACGGTCTTGAATTGACCGCTCCCATCTTGAGCTACAACGATATCCGGCTTAAGGGTATCCGGCGTCCCGACCAACAGCCTCCTCTGTGTCGGTGTAACCCACGACGGGAAATCCAAATCCACTCCTGCAGCGGCGGAGCTCGAAGTTCAAATTAATTGTGTAATTTTTGTAATGTAAATGATTTCAATTAGGAATTGCATTTTTAGTAATACTAATAATGCTTATGCTGGCCAAATAATAAGAAGTGAGTTTTAATGTACGGGTAAAAATACCATATATCACCACCTCAAGATACTTTGAAGCTTCCCCTATGCAGACATATGGGCATTTCTTATATTTTTTTAATCAAAATTTACCTGTTTCCTGTGGCAGAGCCAGATGATTCAGCTGGCTCCGACCATGCGCTTTTGCGCTGCTGCTTGCACCTGTTGTTCCGGCGGTGCCCAGCAGCCTCCGGTTGTTGTTGATCGTGCTCAAGTCTAACGACTTCAGGATCTTCCTGAACCCTTCCACCATGGCCAGACCATTGCTGGTGAGCTCGCCAGAGAGCTTGAGGATCTCCCTCATCTTCTCCCCTGACGTCCCCGTGGTGTTCCCGAACTCGTCCCTACATACCTCCTGATATGTGATGGTGGCCTCGAGCCACGTCTTCAGGTTGTCGATGTGGATGTAGGCCTTGCTGGGGTCAAAATTGTCCAGCTCGTCCAGAGACCGTCTCAGGTCATCGATGGCGGTCTCGATGAGATCTTCGCAGATCTCCACGGCGCGCTTCGCCTTGGGGTCCTGCGCGACCTCTTTAATCGTGGTCGAGTTCTTCATTGCGTCTTTCAGGGATTCGACCGCGATCTCGAACCCTACCTGCACGATTTTTTTGGGGTCCGTGGCGTTCTCCACGGATTTCGAGAGGCTGGTCTCGCATGTTTCCTTGTAGACGGACGGGGCACACAGGGCTTTCACTTCTTTCGAGGTGGTGGAGATTTGGTTGCTTGTCGACGTGCCCTTGTCACCTCCGCTGTCGCTGTCTTTAGGGTTGTTGTTCACGCCGACGGCTACGGCGACGACCATGGCGACTAGGAGGATGGAGGAGACGCCCATGATGGCGATCTTCTTCTTCTGGTCACCGTCATCGCCCATCTTGGTGGAGCGGGAGGAAATGTGGCAATAATTGTATTAAATTTGATTTTTTTAATAATTTGTGAAGTAATTTAGGATTTTATTTGCAGAGCTCGGTAGGGGCGGCTTTTTTTTCTTGTTGCTTTTTATTCCCCGACGGGAAATTGGCCCCTCGACGGCTCTGGCTTCTTTTTTTTTTTTGCTAAGAATGAATGTTCTTGTTATTTACTGTTTTTTCTGTTTTTCGCATGGAGATGAGATTTTATTTTATATACTGGGGGAGAAGAAGGGAAAAGGAGAAGGTGGAGGACGGGAGAGAAAGGGAGTTAAGTCAATATTTCTAAAATATTTGGGGTTGTTTTCATGTTTCAAAAATGATTTGCACCGAAAATTGAGTTGCTTCTCATTTTCCTCCTATTTTGTGGGAAATTGCTTATTTTATTATTGCAAAATAATTGACTAAAATTTGAATTCCTAAACGGCTAAGATATCAATATATTTATATGTTTTTGTTTTAGCTTTTGTTTTTAATTTTTTTACAGAAAAAAGGGGAAAAAGGATGGGAAAATGAGAAAAAAGGATGGAGGAAGGATTTGGCCACGGTAGGTGGTAGGGGAAAAAGATATCGAGGATGTTTTTTTTTAAAAAAAAATTAATCTAGAGTTGATATGATAACTTTATTTTGATAATTTATTCATTATTTTTATATAGGTAATATTAATTAATAAAGACGAACATTTTGATATATATTTTAATTTGGAAATAAAAAATTTTATCGCTAATTAAATATGACGTCATCAATGACGAATCGCAATAATTTGCAGAAGACCGTGACTCATCACATGCTTCACAAAATGAGTGGTTCCATCAACTTTTTGACCATCTTTAATCGGAATGACATGTGTCATCAACGGTTCATCCAACTTTAATCATATTGAGCGGTGTCATCAACTCTGTATCAACTTTAATCATATTGAGTGGTAAAATCAACTGTTCATTCAATTGTCAAATTATTGCTGGAGAATCTTTTCGTGTTTCTATAAATGAAGGCTAAACTTTTTCAATCCATTCATCCCACCATTCAACCTTCTTCATTCTCTCAACTTCATATTTCTCTCAACACACACAACTTCTTTTTCATCATGAGTTCCCCTAATAGAGAAGCTTATGAGAGGTAGCAGGAAGATGATGCTAGGCAATGGGAGTATGAGTGTTAGTTTGACCGTGATCGTCAACAGCTGATGGCGATGGCACGAGCCTTCATGTTCCAAGAGCAAGCATCCTCATCTCGACATCGTTAACATTCACGTAAAGTTGTGAGGCGTAACAGGGTAGAAGCACACCAACACTTGATGCAACAGTATTTCGTTCCCAATCCTACCTACAATGCTAGGTTCTTCAGAAGGAGATTTCGGATGTCTCTCTCCTTGTTCAATCGAGTCATGAGTGTCGTTGTTCAACACAACCCCTACTTCCAACAAGGTCGAGATGCTGCAGGTCGCCTGTCATTCTCCCCCGAACAAAATCTTACTACTTCCCTTCGGATGCTTTCAAATGGATGCTCAACCGACTCCTTAGATGAGACCTTTGATATGGGTGAGACCACTGTACTGCAGTGTATGCTTAATTTGGTAATGTCATTATCTGCATCTATGGTCCTGAGTACTTACGATCACCAAATGTGGAGGATCTTCGCCGCCTTCTTCATCACAACAATCGGCGTGGCTTTCTGGGTATGATCGGTACAATCAAATACATGCATTGGGAGTGGGAAAATTGTCCAATGGCGTGGCAAGGACAATTTACTGGATGCAAGGGGAAGCCAACAATTGTCCTGGAAGCTATAGCATCATATGACGCATGGATTTGGCATGCCTTCTTCGGAAGTCCCGGATCAAACAATGACATAAGCACTCTTGGAGTCTCCCCATTATTCGATGAAGCAGTCAGAGACAATCTTCCAAAAGTCAGCTATAAGGTAAATGGTAACATTTACAATCAATGTTACTACTTGGCTAATGGGATTTTCCCTGAATGTTCTAAATTTGTGAAAATCATTAGCAACCCTAGTAACCAGAAGAAGAAACTGTTTGCAAAATGGCAAGAGTCATACCGCAAGGATGTTGAGAGAGCTTTCGGCATTTTACAAGAAAGATGGGCCATTTTTAAAGCTACGGGTAGATATTGGGATGTAAAAACATTGGGAGAGATTATGCTAACTTGCGTTATTCTACACAATATGATAGTTGAATACCAACGAAATGAGTTTGGAGAAGAACATGTGGAGGCCTTTGAATATGAGACTAATCCAGATGTCACATTGGATCCACCGGATCATGACACTCCAACTCTCATGTAATACAAGATAAGGCATAATAAGATTCGTAACTGTGAAGGGCATCATGCACTGAAAGCGGATTTGGTTGAGCATTTGTGGACAAGAGCAGGAGGAGGGGAGTAGAAATATGCCGCGACTCTAATTTTAAGTTGTGCACTTTAATTACTTGAATTTGTATTGTGTGTTGAGTTTACTTTATGTCTTATTGTTGTGCTTTTGTTATCAATGTATTCTCCATTTTAAGTTGTGCACTTTAATAAAGAAAGTTGCTGAATATTGAACAAAAAGTAACAAGGATACATTGAGAAATACTTAAAGCAAACACACTAAAAATAGAGGATACATCAAAGATAAATTAAAAGTACTTAAATCAAACACATTAAAAATAAAAAATAAAAAATAAATCAAACAACTCTTTAAAGGTACTGGTCGAGGGTGTAAGTGTCATCAAATGGGCTACTGGAAGATCCTCCATGTGGTGTAGAAGCTGGTAATGATTGGTACGCAAACATAATTTGATCTCTTTGAATTTGGTATCATGCTCTTTGTTGAGGATCCAATTGAGAAAGATCATGAAGCATGATTTCTCGCTCGTACCTACTTTTTTCCCTTGCTTCCTTCGCCTTCTCCCTATCCTCCCTACCGACAGCCAATCTTGCATGTGTTGCCCAACTTGCCGCCATGTCCGTCAAACACTTTTGAAAAGTTTTCATGCCGGCAGTTCACCACCTCCTCTTTTCTTTCTCTTTTGTTGATCTCGACCTTCGGGACGGTTGAGCACTCTTGGAGCAGCAACTGCATGAAGGTCGGGGCTATCAGGTTCATCACTTGACATAGCCGATTGAGATCCATCCATTGGGGGAATAGGTGCAATAGGAGCATAAAATTATTTCATAAATCTTGGTCACTCTTGGAGTAGTTGCCAACATTCTTCCAACTTCCAGTCTTTCTTCGTGTCCTCCTTGAAAATAGCTTTCGCGTGACGGGTCTAAACAATTAATTAGAAAACAATACACATGATTAAAAATTAAAAAAATAAAATTATACCATTAATTAAATAAAGATGTTGTAGAAGTTGACTAACCACATCTACTTGGTTAGTTCCGCTCGGTGGATTAGCATTTACTTCCCTCAATGTCGCATACCACTTCTGACATGAATGGTTGATAAACTGTCATCGAGTCTTCAAGGCGTCATTGGTACGATTGATCGTAAAACTATTTGCAGAATATAAAGCTCCAATTCTTATCCAGAAAGCTGGTGAAGATTGATAATGACCGATAATAGGATCTTGTGAAACTTCCATCCAAGCTTGGCATAAAGCAAGGTCTTCAAGCGTTGTGTAATTCGGATTGCGCTCGCTGCCGGAAGAAGCCATGGTTATGATTACAGAGAGTTTGGGAAGAAGAAATTTTTTTGTTTGGAAGGTAGGAAGAGAGTTTGAGAAGTGTTGGAAGAAAGTGAAGAATGAATTCGATTTATAGAGCTGAAAAAATCATGACCGTTGGAAAAATAGTCGTTGAAAATATGGCGGTTGTAGAATATGACCGTTGGCCAATAAATCCTAAAAAATCAATCAGAAAACCAATAAAATATTTTCTTAAACAAAAAAACAAAAATGGTCCCCCTTCCCCTCCTTCTTTTAATTTCTACCAAAGGGTTTTTCCTTCCCCACTTCCTTTTTTCCTCCTTTTTATGCTATCCTATTGTGGGGATTTCCACCCTTATTTTTCACGTTTGCTGTGGGTAGTCTCAAATAATCTCCTTTTCCAAAATTGGAAGGAGGAAGACTGGTGGTGGTCTCGTGACCCAACGATCTTGGGCCTCCCAGTTACATTTAATATGGGCCATCGTATGGGCCGCCATGTTGCACCTCGCTTGGCAAAACGCCAGCGTATTGGGCCTATCCTTTCCGCCTCTTCCCTCACTTCCCGAACGAGACTACGAGAGCCCTTGTCTCCGTTCTCGTTTGCTCTGCCTTCTGCAATGCGAGAAATGTGGTTTGCCAATCGGTCTCCACCACCACTAAATCAAAGCCATTCATCTCTGCCTATTGGAGTCCGAAGGCAATTGCTTTAAGTTCCTCAAGCTCGGGCGGCCATTGATTCCTCTCCCGCCGGACTGCCGCCATCAGGAAGTTACCCTTCTCATCGCGAGCCACCGCGTCGAAACTAGTTCCTTCCCCACGAGCACAGCAGCATCCACATTAATTTTTATCCATCCCAACGGTGGAGGTTCCCAGGTACGAGCTACGTCTTCTCTACTCAAGCTTTCCTTCATATGAAGTGAATTGAATTCCTCCCAGTAATCAATCGCTTTGTGCAAGATCTCCCATTCCTCTGCTTTCTTGTTGTTGAACATTTTGGTATTATTGCGTTCATTCCAAATTGCCCAAAGCACCATCCCAAATTGACGTAGAGTCTCATCATCTACCTTCTCCATGAATTCACAAGTCCAGCTTCCCACTATTAGGTTTGGTTCAAGTTCGAAAAGTGGTCGAGATATTTGTATATTTTTGTTTTTATTGGATATAAGCTTATCTCGTTACTAATCATCAGATTTTTAGTGTATGTTTTGTTGGTTGTGGTTTCAGACTCTAACTCTAGTCACCGTTGAATGAAATTGAATGCTTCAACCGCAAATCTATTTAATTTTTTTCTCAACAGAAAATCATGTTTGAATGAGAGATGTTTCTTTCTCCGAACTTACAGCTTGTAGTACAAGGTAGTAGTTCATGGATACAAAGGAAGTTGTTGAAGAAGAGATAAGATAGAGTAATCTTTCTTACAAAGACTCAATAGTGAGTGAATGCAAAATAGATAAAAACTTGATTTTGATCATGATGAATTATTATTATAACTAGTTTTGTGCCCGCATGATGGACGGTATGTTTTATTTTTTGTCATTTTCTCAATAATAGTGGACAACTATTTCTCTTTGTATATACTTATTAAAGTTATTTATAATTCAAAATTTATCTGATAGGAGGGTCGCCACATTTAGTTTGAGTGTGGCTAGGAGCAATGATCATGTAAAACAATGAGTCACTACTTCATAACCATTTTGAAAATCATATTCATGATCATTTACTCTTTGATTGACAAACAGTTTTCAACTTCATATGTTATACATAACTTTTCATTAATTTTGCCTTTCGTGCATCTATATGTTTGTGCCAAATATTGTCAGCGTCTAACATTTCTTTCAGCCTCGTGATACAAATTCACGCAGATAATTCATATTATCCTATGTAATGATGAAATTGGATTTATTTCAATATATTTCTCCACTTGATGAATGTATAACTTAACAAACTTAGTAATTAAACATTCTGGTGGTAGTTGACTGCTCAATCGATAGTAAATTGGTTCATAATCGATACGTATAATCCATGTCCATCATTTAATAATGATCTATCTTGCCGCTCATACAACTAAGTCAAAAGATACCATTGTTGTACATAGTTCTTTTTTCATGATGTACTTTGTATTTTTAAATAACATCCGCACAACACTAACATGTACTCGAATGAGGTCCAAGAGTGAAAAATTCACATATTTGATAAATAAGCACCTAAGAAATAAACATGGTTTAGATCAATGAAAGAGAGATATTATTGCATATCATGAGCATGTAATTAAGGTGTAGTTGTAGTCTTATACTACCAATTATACATATATAATTGTGAATTACCTTTAACCTTTTGACACTGATATTTTAATAATTTATGGTGTAGGAAGTAGGAACATGTTACGTGATTGTGATAATATATTTTACTTTGCATGTTAGCATTTTGAATTCATAACATTATTAATAACTAATGCAGTACACACATAAAAAAATTGTTATCTTTAGTATATAACTATATGAGTGCATTATTAAACATATTTATAGTAGTACTGAAAAAATACTACATTGTCGGTGTGATATAAAACAAAAAAGGTTGTACTTTGATTTCTCATATTTTTCAACCTTAAATGAACATACTAACTGTTGGAATTTGGATAGTAATTGAATTTCAATTTTATTTTTCATTTATGGTTTTGTTCAAACATTTTTAATTTCTTTTGAGCATATCATAAAGGAAACTTAAACATAAGTTATTTTTATTTATTCATAATTTTATATGATAGATACAAATATAATATTTATTTTCGTTGCTTTACTTAACTTTATGTCCAATCTTGACAAATGTTATTATGATTGAGTCGAGGGTCAACCGGTAAAGTAAAAGATCATATTTAAAGGTCAGGTGTTAAACTATTTCATGAAATGAGTAGTAATATTGTTGTGATTTATAACATCAAATCGAATTTTATCCCATTGGTTAACACTCTAAATTATGTTAATTTGAGTCTTGCAGGTTGTAAGTTGGAGTCTCTGTAATGATTATATATCTCTTTTTTATTTTTAGCTTAGAAGAACTTAAAAATATATAGAAAAAATAGAATGATAATATTGAAATGGAAAATTGCGGAATTTCTTAAATCCTACGTAGCAAGAGATCGCTCTAAAACAGATTATTATTGCTCTTTTGCTGAAGGTACAAGTACAACTGTACAACAACATTACCACACACTATCTACAGTATCTATTACTTCAGTATGTCGCTTTATTGAAATCGAAGGAAAGGAGACCAAAAGGAACAATGGCTTTAATCTCTTACTATAATTATAAATTATTGTGATGATTATTATTAGTCAAGTGGTCCAAATTTCAATACGATCTCTCAAAGCTTAGCTCTCCGTAATTCCAACTTGGCGATGGTGCCCAAGTGCACTTCATCCGGCCCATCAGCAATTCTCAACGTCCGGGCTGTGGCCCAAAGATGCGCCAGAACCGTGTCCGATGATAGGCCCATCCCGCCATGCACTTGCATAGCCCGGTCCAGTACCATCAGCGCCATATTGGGAGCTGCCACCTATTACCATTTACCAATTTACCACACAATTACATGATAGCTTCGTCAAATCAAAACCAGAAAAATGATGATTTGTCGGAATCAAAACAAAGTCAAAAAGAGCTTTCTTTACCTTAGCCATGGCGATTGTCCCTCGAGCTTTCTTGTTCCCCAAGCGATCAAGCTGGTCAGCTGCCTCCAAGACCAACAGTCTGGTTTTCTCCAGCTCGATCCGGCACTACATAGTATTACGTCAGTTGGAACATTCAACATCTCTAATTAAGACCTTAGCAGAAAGTTTCTGAAAAGCAGAGAGATGAGATGAAGATTGTAGTAACAATTTTAGAAGTTTTTCTGGCATACATGTGCAACGTCTGCTTGGAATGAACCATGCTGAGCAATGAACTTCCCGAACGCTTTTCGGGCCAGAGCTCTCTGGACCATCAGCTGCATTCCGCGCTCGGCAGCCCCTATCAATCTCATGCAGTGATGCAGCCTCCCTGGACCGAGCCTCCCCTGCAATAAAGAAGCTCTGTGTTTACTCAGGGATATTATGGAATGTTAGGTCAATCAAATAATTAAGCTTTGGGGCCCTAACTCTTATGTTAGTTCGTTTAAGGTGCTCGTTATCATCTAACATGGCGAAGTGAAGCAGCAAGTTCAGATCTTCCTTTTTTGCTTTGAAGGAACAAGAGAACTTACCTGAGCAATCTCGAACCCACGTCCTTCTCCCAGTAGGATGTTCTCTGCGGGGACTCTCACATTCTCGAATGTGATTTCAGCGTGTCCATGAGGTGCATCATCGAAGCCGAACACCACGAGCGGTCTCTTCACTTGTACGCCTGGAGTATGCATGTCTACCAATATCATGGACTGCTGTTTATGAATGGCTGCGCCAAAGTCTGTTTTACCCTGCACATGGTCGCACAAATTGTGTGTTAGTTACGAGCATTGAAGGAAATCCTTAATTGAGTATTATGATGATCGACACGACTAACCATAACGATGAGAACTTTACACCTGGGATCCATAGCTCCGCTCGTCCACCATTTCGTTCCATTGATAATGTACGAGTCTCCTTCTCTATTAACCAAATTTCACGAAATCTCTTATTTTAGCTTATTTCCACTTTCGAATTGTAATCATCACAAAGCTGTACCTTCTAATAGAGCATTCTATATTGGTTGCATCAGAGGATGCAACTTGTGGCTCTGTCATTGCGAATCCTGAACGGATCTTCCCTAAAAGCAATGGGACAAGCCATTTAAGTTGCTGCTCTTTGCTTCCATACCGCAGCAATACCTGTAAGAAACACAGAAGTTTTAAGGCTCTGAATCCACAGTGCTAGTAACTAAGAGCACTATAGAGTATAGACAAAACCAGTACTGACTGCTTTAACTGTCAGCAAAGAAGAGAGGGAGGAGAAAATGATGAAGAAGAAGAAAGGGAGCGACTTTTTTGTTTTATGAACATAGAATTAGACCTTAGAGAAAGGTTTGATGCAAATAAGTAACAGAGAAGACTGTTTAAGGGCAACTAGCACATGCAAAGAAGCATTTGACTTAGAAAAATGGGAAGATAATGGATATCAAACACGGGAATCAATCATTTTCTGCCTTTAAAGGATTAGAAAGTTCAAAAAATTTACCTCCATATTTCCAGTGTCAGGGGCACCACAATTGAAAACCTGTGGCGCCCATATGGAACGACCCATGATCTCACACAGGTAGCCATATTCAAGATTTGAGAGGCCAGCTCCAAGTAATTGATCATGATGACCATCATTTGAGGGAAAAGTATTGCTCCCATCGAATATTAGCTTCTTTGCTCTTTCGGCACTATCAAACTGCAAAAGAAGCACAGGGGAATCAGTGGGTTTCAAAATATAAGTTAATAGAACTGAGTAGAAAAATGAAACAATAACAAAGAAGGGATAGAGGTCTACAGGTATAAACAAGTTCCATAATCCCTCTTTCTTTGCTAGCTCCTTCAACCTCTCCTCTTCAGGGTGGACTGTCCAGCGTGAGGGAGACTGAGCAAGTTTATAGAATTCATTTTCCATGGGATAAATGCGTTCTTCCATGAACTTAATTATCTTTTGCCTCAGTTCCAGCACTTTTCTTGAAGGAACAAACCTCCCACTTTCTGACATAAGGGCTTGAGCATCATGAGCGGCTGGATCTGCATCATAGAGAAGCAAACACATCATGTAAATGCATACGGAAACTTCAAAATTCCAGGTCAATCAAAACAGCCAGACCATACCATATGGCGAGCGTTCAGGAAGCACGGAGCTCCTGGATATAAACTCCAAAGCAGCATCTATAAGACCATTGGCCAGTCTTCCAGCATTGCGAGCACGCTCACCCCCAGAAGCATTACCCTGCATCATCATGACACCAAAATATCACTTCTTGACTGCCAATTTAATAACAAAAATTGACGCCATCTTGAAACAAGGCAGAAGTCTCTCTTCCCATAATTACCATTATCCATCGACTATGGACACCGGCATAGATAGAAGCTCCACGGAACATGGCGAAGGCGACATAAAACTTCCAGTTACTGGCAGGCCATGGTCTTCCCTACATGGCCACATTTCAATAGTTTTATGATACAGCAAAACTCAACAGAAACAAAATACATGATCGCTTGGAGAGATCCTCCAGCTACAGGCTTAACATGACATTCATACTTCCTTTACATTTCAGATACTTCAGATTTGGAGAAACAATTATCCAAATAAATTAACTTAGCTCAATCTGGTAGGATAGTGGCTATTTTAGACATTAGCTGCAGGAGTTATGATGGACTTACCGATGCAGCACAATACTCAGCAAGATATTCTACTTGTGAAGGAATCCCTTCAGGAAGGTCGTATTCAAATCCTTTACCAATTTGTTCGTTAGAAAGGTCGATGTTTACAATATGAGCCTGCCCAGGAAAATCGAAAGTAAACAACTTAAATGAGAAGAGCACGATGAAATTCGTTATTCTCTATAAACCAACAACTTATCAGCTCTACTTTTAGTAGATTGGTAGATAGTAGCACAGTACCATACAGCAGTAAGCAACATCGCTCATCTGGTTCCCAAGTGTGGACAACTCCCAGTCCAGAATACCAATCACTCGATCCTGCAATGGTTCATGAAAGATAGCCTTCAGATACAGTAAGACGCCAACATCTCTCCCTATAAAAGATTCGATGAACATCACAGTAATGGGCATTGCCATTGCCATCTAAATTAGGATCCATAACAGAAGCATCAAAATACCTCAGAGGGATGAAACACAAGGTTGTCGATACGGAAGTCCCCATGAACCAGTCCTGTTGCTGTCCCTGAAGAATCTTCCTCAGGAATGTTTTTGTGCAACCAATCCGAAAGTTCGAACATCCCGATATATCTTGGAGACTTCCCTTCACCAGTCGATGCCATGTATTGTTTAGCCCATCTATCCACCTGAAACACAAGTAGTTTCACAACCCTTGCAGGATAGAGTCACCAATATGAAATATCTCATATCCAGTAACTTCACTCACCTGTCTTTTACAGTAGTTATCCCGGCGTCCATATTTCCCTAGACCGATTGCATCCACATTCGCAGAATGCATAGCAGCCAATGCTCTAGCAGTTGCTCGATAGATTGCCCTCCTGCTGGCAGGTGCAACCCCCTAAACCAAAACAATGATCCATTGCCACAAATTCGCAATACAATCAAAGAGAATGTAACGAAACTCGAATCAAACAAGTGAAAGAGAATGATTCGTGGTACCGGAAGCTTAGGGTCAATAAAAATGCGGCCTTCCAAATACTCCATAATATAGAACGCAGTTCCAATCACACTCGGGTCCATACACAAACAGAACGCCTTCGGTACAGGAACTCCCGTATTATCCCCCAGAGCTCGAAGAACCTTCCAGGCAATCAATAATTCGAAGTATCAAACACTAGCTTATCTTGAGAAATTTGACTGAAAACTGCAAATCGAACTTCAAACAAAGCTACAACTGTGTCAAGTTATCAGACCTGGTACTCTCTATCGACGGCATGAGCAGACGGCAGCAAAGTTCCAGAAGGCTTCTTCCTCAACACATAGCGTTTCAACGAAGCTCCGGTGCCGGCTTCCAGCAGAAACGTCGGATTGGATTGCCCATGCCCAAACTAACAGCAGTCCAGAAACACTCGAAATTCAGCAAGCATACCCCGGAAACAGCCGGAGCGAAGAGGTGTTATATAATTAGACGGAGAGAGAGAGAGGGAGACCTGCTTGACGGAGAAGGTGGAAGGCGGCGAGTCGGGGAAACCGGCGACGTTCGCCGCAGCGTAGCGGAACAAGGCGGCGCGATCGAACTGGTGACCTGCCTGGACTTCGCCGACGAGATCGGATGTCCGACTAGACATGACGGACAAAAATTTTCCCCCCGATCGAAATGGAAAGAGTGGAGAAGATGGAGAAGAGTTCGATTTACAGAGCTGAAAATTGCTAGGTGGTTGACGATTGAACCATTTTCATGATTAGTCGTGTTCTCCAGACTCCATTTATTGGCTTCGCCGATGAAACCAATCTTGTGAAGCACCAGGTGAATGTGGAGAGGTGTACTGTTCACGCGCTGAACGAACTCTTTACTGACGGGAAAGCCAGTTGTGTGAAGCGGGCGAGTGGGTGTCACTCGCTCTTGGCTGCTGTGGGGCTTGGTACAATGGGTGTAAACGGGGATAGAGATAGAGTATAGACAGTGATGTTGATGTAAACGGATATACCTAAACTCACAGTAGCAGCCGGTACCGAATCCGGTCATTGTTTGCCGCCGCGGGCAGACGGTGAGACGGGCAGTTCCCAAAAATTTGAAGTAGGCCAGGCCCAAATCACAGTGCTACTTAGCCCTTTTAAAAAAGTTTGACAAGGCTTACATATTTGAATGTGAAGCCCAGGAGATGGAGATGAAAGGTAAGAAATTAGCCCAATTATAATGGACCTGGCCCGCAAATGGAGTGGACTACTGGACTGTGGAGAGTCTCTCTTTGCATTCAATCTCCAAAAAGGGTAATAATATCCCACCTAGGTTACAAGGGAAAATAGGATATTGGTATGTGAATATATAATTAACCAAGAAATTTCCTGTTTGAATTTTGGAAATCTCTATTAATACTAGTTAGATTACACCTATTAGTTTATGTAATTTCAAGATTATGAATTGATTTACATTTTAAATGGTTTAGTTCAGAAAATTGAGCAAGATGTGTATGTACGGGACTGATATCATTGAATTATATCTCGTGTAAGTTCAAATGAACTCTATAAATAATGTTATTTACAAACTTCTTCTAAAGAAATTACTAAAATAACATGTGATTGTGATCAAATGACATCAGCCTAGTCGGGTTTCACCCCTTTCAACCTCGGTGCTAAAAATCATTTGAAGGAGTGTGTAAAGAGGAGGAAATGACATTATAGCCAGTGATGTCACTCGGATAGCTCATGCTGAGATGAGTAGAGAGAATCTTTGACAAAAAAAAAAGCCTTAAATACCATTCCCACCATAGAATATATTGAGAAACCAAGGATGAAGTTGAATCAACAACTAAAGCAAGTTACTAACTCAGCATTAGATTCATTCATCCCTCCAAGCTGAAGCAGATATTGAATGTGCTTTCTCTCTTCTCTAGAACCCTATAGAAACTCTTGACTGGAATAAAGGACATGAAGTGGGAAAAACGTTCACAATTCCCATCATGCATGTTATCTTGTTTCAACCTTCATTTCAGGAATCTATGCAGAGCATACTTCTGCAATTTTAAGCTAGCTGCTGGTGAATGGCGTCTAATCTTGCTCTCTGCTGTCACATGGACTTATTCTTGTTGTGATTTAACCCAAATAGGCAGGGGAAGGACTGAAGGAGGGCATTGATGGATGGATGATGAACTTTAAGCCATTTCAGCAGTTTTTCTATATAAACACCACTGACCCTTCTCAAGAAAAGCATCAAACCAAGGCAGAAATTAATCCTCCTTACAGAGATTTCTGATGGCACAGCATGAGGCTGCAGAGCTATTCCCTAGAAATGGAAGGGAGGAGAAGCTCCAAAAAGGCGGTGGTGGGACGAGGGAATATGATGTTCTTGGAAGAGCTGGGTTAGAAGGGTTTGCTGATATAGACAAGTACTTCCCTTCCAGGAAGAGAAACCCAAGTTCCTGCTTTGGTAATTGACAGCAATTTTGCAGCACAGATCTATGGTGGCAAGGCTATTGTGAGCTATCCCAAGGGGAGGAAACCAAGTGGCCAGTAATGGGGTTTAAATGGTCATTAAGTTAATCATATGCTATGTGAAATCTGTGTAATTTTCTGCTGCAATCCATGGCCCTGTTGGTAATTCATCAGGTGTCATTGTAGCAGCTTTTTGTTTCTGTAGTTTTTGTGTAATGTTCATGGGGGCAAATAATGTAGAAGCTGATGTGATGGGTTTTCTACTTTTCCAAGACCATGAATTTCCAAGACCCCATGGGTTGGGAGTTTTTGCCTAGTGTTCTGGGTTCAATTCACAACAGCTCTAAAAAAGAGCCAAGCCAGGCAAAGCAGGAAACCTCTTAAGGAAGCTCTTTAACATCTTGCATGTATTATGAATACTTCAAGAGTATTGTACGAATATTTTAATTGCATAATAGTATAAGATTAACAATTGATTTCTTTTCAATAACACGGCCTCTAAAATGAAAATCAGCTAAGGGTGCGTTTGGATACAAGTATTTGGATTTGGTATTTGTGATTTGGATTTTCAAATACCAAATCATGTGTTTGGATATTAATTACATTTGGTATTTGGATTTGTGTCAAATTCATGGGGTGATTTCCAAATACATGTCTAGTGCATTTTTTGTCAACTTCAAATACATTTCAACAACTAGTGATTTGAAATACCTCCTAACAAAAGAATGGACCTATTTGTAAAATATGAAAAGTTTAGGTACTATAGTGTGAGGCAAAACATATAAAGGTACCAAAATGTAATTTTACCATCAAAATTTCAGGATCTTTTTGTAAAATTTTAAAAGTTTAGGTACTAAATTGTAAGAAAAAATAATTTCGGGTACCAAACTGTAATTTACCAAAATTTGTAGTAAGTTGCCAGAAAATTGAAATTGACAATCATAAATACAAAAATACAAACAAATTACAAATGAGTATCCAAACAATGAATTTGAATTACATGTATTTCAAATGCTAATACTTCAAATACATCCATTTCAAATGCTAGTATTTCAAATACCTTACATTTAAAATACACTTATCCAAACGCACCCTAATATATAATATTGATTTCAAGTTTGTTCATATTTGAATATCTCATGATTAATATTGGGGTTATTGATATCGCGATTCGAACACAAGACTTCTCGATCATATTCTCATACAATATCAACAAATTAGGATTTCATGGAAATTTGATGTTCTATTACTAAAACCTAAAAGGGTTGTACTTGTACAGAGACATACTTCCACCATAACTCTAATATGAATATGAATAAGGAAAAATACCCTAAATTCTAGTATCGCAACTCTAACAAATTACCCATGAACACAACGAAAAAGGACTTAAATTGATAAAGCTAATTACAAGTGTTCCTCTAACAAACTTTTAGTACGATGTTGAGTTAGAGATAATACGATTGAATGATTATATCGCAAAGAATTTTGTGGTCGCAATTAGGTATAGATAGAGAAGATATGTATCTCCCGCCTTTGCATTTAACTTTAGGAGGAAGAATATCATCAACCCTAATACGATGTTGATTTAAAGATAACACTATTTAATGATTATATCACAAAGAATTGTGTAGTCGCAATTCCTAATGTCCGCCGGTATATGTATCTCCCTCCTTTCCCTTCAACTTCAAGCAGGGAGGGAAGATATCATCAACCCTAACGAAAACAGAATCTCAACCCTACCAAACCCTTCTAGCTATATACCTTGGTGTCCCATATAGATAAGCAAAGAATATGGTTCCAAAACCGCCCTTAAAATATAGGCAACACAATCTTGTAGCATCCCTTTGTCAAAAGAATCCCTGTAAAAAAAAAAAAATTCAACTTACCTTCCAAGTTCCATCTCACAATATCCTTCTGCTTCAGATACATCTCCAAACCCCAAGTAGCTATCAGGGCAAAGAAGTGATGGATAAAAGGGCATCTGGTTCTTTTCCAAGATTCTTGAAACTTTGCAAAGAAATGGAAGATCTTTCAGCCAGGGAGTACAATAATTTGCAGAAAGATTCTTGGGAAGGTGGGAGTGGAGAATGCCCAGGTGGGGTTTCCTTATAGATATGTGGAAATCATGGTGACTGGATTTTTTTTTCTCCAAAGGTAAGAGAGTTTTAGGCAGGAATTGATATGCCAATTGGACAAAGTCTAATACTTTGAATTAGACAAATCGAAGGAAAGAACCAGAATAAAGGGTCACCTATATAGTACAGTATATATCTGGTTCTATGTTATAGTAGTTTAGTGGCAAAAAGTTACCCTAGCTGATATACCTAGACCTCAAATTTCACCATATTGGAAGAACTTAGGTCTCTTCATTCTCATTACTACTAAATCAAACCATTCATAATTTATGTTAATATTTTCCCTACCACGCGATGTCAAGAATAGATTGATCTAATAATTCGAGTTGTTGTGAAAGGTTCGATAATGGATCTTATACCACATACTAACACGCCTTCACAAATGAAAGTTTCATATGAGTTTGAAGTTTGCATAATGACGAGTCAAATTAATCTTACTAAATACAAGTCACAAATGGAAGGTGGGAAAAAAGGATCGCTAATCCCAAAGAGTTGGCCCAACAGTAATGCGGGGATGAGAAGTTGAGAACACCCACCACATTTTGGATTCGAATATTGGGATCAACAACCAACGGGAGGAAACAAGGATTGGTCTAAGATACAAGAGTTGTGGAATTCAACCATATATGAAAATTGAAAAGAGTTATGAGAGCGTTCATTTTGTTACGAGTAGCCTGTATTAAGTTTTGAAGTTACAATGGCTTAACCATTTAACAAACAATAGTGTAATTATGAGGAATTTATTCTTGGTAAGCAAGTTAGCTTTAGATATACTAAAGTCTCCCCCTCAAAGTTGCTAAGAATCAGATAAAGTTGAATCACTTTAGAACACAGATGTGGCTGAAGCTTTCAGTTATAAACAGGTACTCTAACTACTATATAAGAAGATCAAACCGTTACCATTTCTATCACAAACCAACAACAAACCAACAAAACAGAACAAAAAAGAAGTCCTAGAAAAAACCCCCCAACAAATCCATGGCACCTCAAGGAGACAGGCTTGCGATGATCGGAGACGAAGCTTTCTCACTGATCGACAAACACTTCTACGCCGGCGGCCAAGTCGACAGCCGCCACAAAACCCATCAGTACCGCCGCACTTACCATTATGCATCACAGTACCAAAACCAGCAGCAGAAGGAGCAGCAGCCCTGCGTTTACTACGGGCCGAGGACTGCGACGGTGACGGTAAAGGTGCCGGCGGCGACGGAGGCGACGCGGTACTACTACGGCGGGAGCTTTAATCAACCGGCTGCCAGCAGCTGGGAGGAGCAGCAGCCGCCGGTGATGACGTGTGACGAGGCGGCCCAGAAGTTTGGTGGGCTTGTGATTGCGGATCACGGAGCAAGGAGCAGGAAGCGTTCTTCTCAGTTGGGCTTTTAATGGGCTCAGGCGAGGAGGGAAAAGAAAAGCCTGCTAAAGCTGTGACAGAGTGACTGAGCTTCTTTTTTTTTGAATTTGTCAGCTGTGTTACCGCTCTGAGAAGATAATTAAGTATCAGATTAGCAGTGTGTCTTAAGTTAGTAAGCTTTTTCTTCTTCTTCTTCTTTTCTTGATGCTGGTGTGTGTGCTTCTGTTATAATTTAGCTAGTGTGCTCAGAAAGAATTTGTAAATGTGTCTTTTGTTAGTTAAGCAGGTACTTATATACTGCTTGGTATCTAGTGTAAAAAATGTATCGATAGACCATAATTTTATGCGGTAGTTTTTTTAACGTCTTAGTCTATCGTGTTTCGTCGTTTTAATTTGGATTTAAACTGCATTGATCATTAGGTCAGATTGAAGGCCAATAATAATATCACTAGAAAAAACCCTTAATCGCCAAGATTGGAAAAGTCAGAGTTTGCCATGAAGCACAAGAACTCGAACTAAATCAAGATTGTTCAAAATCAAACACTATTCTGAGGTTATGTTCTTATTCTTCACAAATTCCCATTCTTCGCAAAGCACAATGAACCGAAAAGCATTATAGTTAAAGCTCAAATTATAAGGTATATTTTGATGTCCAAAACTGTAATTAAACTTGATAAGGCCAACAAGCATCCTAAACCTTGGAGATTAAAAAAAAAAAAAAAATTGGTCGAACCTTGGAGATATTTTTCATCGCAAGTACATACAAAGTCACTTATCATAATTTGGAATATAAATTTGGGTTGGAACCCAATTAAGTAAGTTAACTTAATTAAAATCGAATAAACTAAATTCGAGTAAATGTAAGAACAGGTCAAGTCGTTGATCTATTCTTATATATAATTAAGAATAAATTAATATCAACATATTAGTCACGAAAAATAATCACTAATAAAATCTCATACAATTTCAAGACAGTAAGTTGTCAAAAGAAAATTTGATCTTCTAATGGTGAAGCTAGTGCAATGGCTGGAGGCCACGCAAGGAGGGGATGTTGTAGTATGAAAAAAAATGGTTGTTTCAACAAAGCATTGATTGAATCTTTTAACTTAAATATTCATCTCATCCTGAGTTTTGAGATTTGAAACAATTCTATCCAAGTAGACAAATTTAACAAAACTTTTTAATATCACGTCCAACCGTACGTCTTCTTTATGTTTTATTCAACTTCAACAAGTTAATTCAAATTTTATTTTGATTAATTTTGAATTTCCGGAGAACTCGGTCCTTCTAATCACAAACTTAAATTCCTGCCTTAGCTCGAATCATGTTTTCAGCACATCTCGTCTATTGAACAAGCCACAAAAGTAAGAATCGAGTTTAGTCCAATTTGATGGTTTAAAAAGTTGAGTTAAACAATTATACGTACATATCTGTTGATCATCAACTGAATATATATAATATCACTTGAAAAAAAAAACTGAATATAATCCAGAGCTTATCACAAAAGCACCAAAGAAGAAAACAACACAGCTTACTGAAAGTAGTCTTCCATTCCATGGCGCCTCAAGGAGACAATAAGCTTGCTAAGATCGGGGAAGTCTTCTCCCACGTCAAACAAGTACTACACCGCCCGGTACCAGACTCACCGGACTGGGATGTCAACGGTGGGAACGGTGAACTTGCCGGCGGCTACGGAGACGGCGCAGCACTATCGGAGCGACGGTCAACCGGCGGCCGTGGCGAGGGAGAAGAAACAGCTGGTGGAGATGAATTCCGAGGAGGCGGCCCAGAAGCTCGGTGGGCTTGCGATCGCGGAGCGCGGCGTGGGAGGGAGTTCCCTTGGATTGGGCTTTACAATTAGGGCCCGGCCTGAGAATAAACATAGGTTTTAATCTGAAGATAGTTGATACTTAGGATAGTTAGTAAAATACACTACAAGAAAGTTACGTATAAAATATATACGGGTATTTTACTTCGTCTTTAAACTAATGTTACATTTAATAGTATGTTAATAGTCATAAATTTATAAAATGTAATTATTTTAAAAATAAATATATAAATAATTGTAAAGTTAACAATACAATTCATTAAATACGGATATTAAATGTGTTACACGGGTATAATACGTGTTTAGTACGGGAGCCATAAAATATACGGGAAAAAATGAAACGATTTGACAATACTACGGATACGGAAGTTTTAAACGAATAAAATACGTATGGGGTACATATACGTGTATTAAACGGAGTATTTACTAACTATACTTAAATGTCAAGCCCGCGAAGTTATCACCCAAAATGTTACGGGTGTTTTTAAGTTTGTGTTCGTTTTTGTTTACTGATAACCACCAACAGGTTTGTAATCCAGTGACTTTGTAGCAATACTTCAATAGTAACCTTATCAATAATGGTAAGATATTTTCAAACCCTAACGGCTCTCCTGTAAAATCTCCATTCCCCCTTATTTTTTTTGGCGCAAAACAGAGCGTAAAGGGGCTCTCTAACCCCTAAATATTAAGGGATCGAGGAGTTTGAATCCATATAGTGTCAAACAATAGCCAATAACTCAAGATAGGGGTTTGAATCCATAGTTAGTAAAATACGGTACGGGAAAGTTACTTAAAAAATACGTACGAGTATTATACTTCGTCTTTAAACTAAAGTTACGTTTAATAGTACGTTAATAGTCATAAATATATAAAATTAATCATTTTAAAAAAATATATATAAATAATAATAAAGTTAACAATTTAATTCGTAAAATACGGATAATAAACGTGTTATACGGGTTTTATACGTGTTTAGTACGGGAGTCATCAAATGAACGGCGAAAAATGAAACGCCTTGACAATAATACGGATACGAAAATTTTAAACGGATAAAATACGTAAGAATAAGGGTACATATGCTTGTATTAAACGGAGTATTTACTAAATACTAATTATGTTTGACGGTTTGAATCCTCATTCCCCTTCATTAAGGTGCAATATTAATTTTCTTCCCTAATGAAAAAACTCTTGCGGCGTAGACAACTTAAATGGGCCAGGCCTTACCATATGGGCTTGAACCAAAAGCCTGCTACTTCTCTTCGCGGCGAAAAAACGCCGTCCACCGGCGCCGCTGCTGAACCACTCTCAGTAACTACCATCCGGAAATCCTAGTTCCGTCACCCTCCGTCCGCCGCGGAAAAAAAAAACCAATTTAACATCGTGCTAATTTAATTCCTTCTTAGTTTCTATTAAAAAAAAATTAATTCCTTCTTCTTTGTAATGAAAAGCACCCAGCCGAATTTCTTCAAACGCACGTGTTATGTCTCGTCCCGCGAATCGCCATTGTTCTTTTGAGTTGTTGACCCACAATCTCCAAAAAGAACAAGACATCGCACCAAGCATTGCCGAGGTTTCCGGAGCCGGAACGACAATTAACGAAAACCAACGAGACAGATTTGTTTCAGAGAAGAACTTCTGGTGAAATTCTGGTTCAGAATTTGGTGGTGGACTGCAAATTATAAAATTCGAAATACCCGCCAACGATACAGAAAAAAACGCAAAGAAAACCCAGATATCCCAAGCGATTCCGTTTCCTCCTAGACAGGGGAAGGCGTAAAATAGGAAAAACGGAAATAAACAAATGCCTAACCTCAGAGACCAATGGCGACTCTGATTGTTCTATACATAGCAAAATAATTTAACGGGAGGAGACCCAGAGACCCAAAATTAGGCAGGCGCTTTTTCTTGTATAAAGGTTGCTCTGTTTTTTGGAGGGAAAAAAACAGGGGAAGAAGAAAGGAAAACAGAGTCTTCCGTTTTTCTTTTTTCTTCTTTCGTTTCTCAATTAGATTAAGAAAAAAAAAAAAAAGATTAGAACTTTATCTAGGGAGGAATAGGGGGGGATATAGATAGAAAGAAATAGAATGGCGAATTCGGAAGCTCCGGCGGCCACCGCCATTCTTCTCCTTGTCTCGGCCGTCGTCCTCGCCGCTTCTTCTTCCTGCAGCGCTCACCTCCTGCCGCCACATCCCGGCCACCATGACCCCAACGAGAAGGTCTTCAATGTCCTCCAGTTTGGCGCCAAACCCGGTGGCAAAAAAGACTCCGCCTTGGTAAAAAAAATTTAAAAAAATTTACCGTCCCAATGTGACATTTAAAAAAAAATGTGGCACATTTGGTGAGAATTTGTTGTTGTTGTTTGTCAGAATGTGATCAGGACGTTCAGGGCAGCCTGCGATACGCCGGGGAAATCGAGGGTGGTGATTCCGCCCGGTGAATTCCTGGCCGGCTCGATGGTGTTCGTCGGACCGTGCAAAGGTCCGGTCCTGTTCCAGATCATCGGGAACATGAAGGCCGTCGACGATCCCTCGGCTTACGCCGAAGATTTCTGGATGTCGTTTGAGGATGTGGACGGGCTCACTGTTTGTGGCACAGGCACCATTGATGGGCAGGGACAGAATATGTGGCCGTACAACAACTGCGGCAAGAGCGGTGGCACCTGCTCTCCCTTCCCTGCTGTAAGCTCGGGGTTTTGCTGTTGGTCTCATTTTTTCGACCGCGCGAAAGAATAACGAAACCTTGAAACGCTAATCGATGTGGATTGGATTGTCATGTAACAGAACATCAAGTTCAACAGGGTGAAGAACACGATCGTGAGGCAGTTAACGTCGATGAACCCGATGGGATTCCACATCGGAATCGTCCTGTCAGACAACGTCAGGGCGAAGAATCTGCACCTCATCGCCCCCGCGGATAGTCCGAACACGGATGGGATCCACATCAGCCAGTCCAATCTGGTGAAGGTGACGAGGAGCACCATCGAGACAGGGGACGACTGCGTCGCTGCGATTCAGGGGTGCACTGAAGTTGCCATCAAGAAGGTCACCTGCGGGCCGGGTCATGGCATCAGCGTAGGGAGCCTCGGGAAGTACCCCGATGAGAAGGACGTCAGAGGAATCACTGTCAAGAACTGCACATTGAAGAACACCGATAATGGGATCAGGATCAAGACCTATGCCGGGTCGCCTCCTAGCCAGGCATCCAGGATGGTTTTTGAAGACATTGTTATGGAGGATGTTAAGCACCCCATTATCATTGATCAACACTATGGTCCCAAATCCGGAGGGGTAATGCTATCTAGCTCTTAAGTAATACACCTTGATTTGTTTAGTTGAAGAGGTCAATTCTAACCCATTTGTTCATAGCTAAAGTTGTCCTAGACTATTTTAAAACTAACTATTAGATTTATCAATCAATCTTAACCATATTTGTGACCATAACTTAATGTGTTTTATTATGTCATTTGATCCTCATTATTGTCACCTAAAACATTAGGCATGGTGCATTTAGATTTGCAATTCAATCAGGATGTAACATTTAGTCTGATTTGGTGTATACTAAAAGATAAGCTCAATTCGTTTTGAAATGGATCGTGATACATTATGCTAGCAATACTTGTTAGGTTCTACATTGTGACAATCAATCTGACATATTTTCTTTGTTATTCTGTTCTTGCAGCCATCTCAAGTGAGGATCAGCGACGTGCAATTCAACAACATAAGGGGGACGACGGTCTCGAACGTGGCCATCGAGCTTGATTGCAGCGAGAAGGTACCTTGCGAGGGGATTCGGTTCGACAATGTCGATCTCAAGTACAGCGGAGAGAGCAAGAAGCCGTTCGTCACCACTTGCAGCAATGCCAAAGTGAGCTTCCAGGGCGTCCAGTTCCCTCCGCCGTGCCCATGCTCAAAATAAATAAACGAGAGTTGCTAACATATATAACCCCTGCACTTCCCAGATATTGTTCTCTTCTAACCTTTCCTCCACCTCCGCCGCCGGTGAGTCTGTGGAAAGACAACATTTGTTTGATTTAATGCCTGTAAAGTGTAAACAACAGATGAGGTGAAAACAGAGGAAAGAAAAGTTTATACATAATTAACTGTTACGAAAGAACGGACTACTGTTGCGAGCGATTGACTACTAGTACGACAGCTTATCGTGACGAATCCGGGTGATTCGGCTGAATCTTAAGCCGTGGGAAGCAAACAATGAAGCTTTCTGGGTATTTCAGAGTAACGAGGATCGTTTCACTTCTGCTGTTCTAAGTTCCAACGGTTATATACTTAAACTTAAGCAACCTAGTAACTGTCTAGAGTGGCAGTTGGTTCACACTTCACATCCCTCCAGCCCCACTAACCATTCTAATTAGTAATATGACCAATTCAAACCCAATTCTCAGAAAAATAAACGTGCTGATAACTTCCAGGGTAATTCAAACTTCAGATGCTTTTAGAACGCACAAACATAAACAAAGATATAAGCAGAGCTTCTGAAATGGCATGAAACTCAAATTCAACACTTTTTCGAAATGCGCTTTAACAGTGTATCTAATGTTATCAGATTACACTCCCTATCTGTTTCATCAAATCTACTCACCTGGCAACTGAGAAAATTTTAGTGAATAAAGCTAAGAAATGAGTTTCAGAAAGAAGTCTAGGTTGGAAGCAGTTAAGAGAACTTACAAAAGACAACTGCCGTCCCCCACCAAAAAAATAGCCCTCAAGTTAGGTAGTAAGTGTATAAATCGAGTTGGTGGTAAGTTGGCTTCTTGAACCCCTCATCGCCTGAACCCCTCATCAAAGATGACATCTTTTTACCTCGCAGCAGCAGTTTTTCACCTACTAACATCTGCTGCAGTATTTGCAGCACTAGTTGCCACACCCCTTCCTTCTCCTCCTGCTTCTCCTTCTCCCTTTCCTTCGCCTTCTCCTTCTCCTCTTCCCTCTGGAACATTGCCGGAATCTCCTGAAACTTACTCCGAACCGTTACAAGGAGTCCTATTCGATGTCGTTAAATATGGAGCAGTTGCTGATGGACAGACAGAAAGTCAGAATGTATGTTAAGCCACAATCAGAATATCACTCTCTATTTCTTCAACCAAGCTTTTCATTGGTTTTTCTGTTACCTCAACAGGCGTTCGTGGCAGCATGGGAAGCTGCTTGCAACCACAATGGAAGTGAGAGTCCGACGTTCTATGTCCCCGAGGGAACATATTTCGTCGGGGCATTAGTCTTCCAAGGTCCTTGCTTTAATGGCAGAACTCCCAAGATAATGATCAGAGGGAGCTTGATAGCTCCAAGCAGCCTCTCTGCATTCAAGAACACGGACTGGATTCAGTTCAAGGACTTGACTGAAATCGAGCTCGATGGAGAAAATGGGGTCTTGGATGGCAGGGGAGCAGTGGAGGCATGGAAGCAAGTCAGCTGCTCCAAGTCCTCAAGGTGCAAAGAAATGGTGACTGTAAGTACATATCTACAATACATACATTACTGACTGAAAAGGACCTGTCTTTTCTGAATCAATGAAATTGAACAATGTTTGGATTGTTTTGGTGCAGTCGTTGAAGTTCAGCAATGTATCATACGGGACGATCAGTAACATAACGCTGTCAAATGGAAAGGGATTCCACATGGGTTTCTACTTGTGCAACAATATCAGAGTTGAGAACGTTACCATTTTGTCTCCTTGGGACAGCCCCAACACGGATGGAATCCACATCAGTCGTTCGGTTAACGTAACAGTTGATTCGTCGGACATCGGAGTAGGAGACGATTGTGTCTCGATCGGACCTGGGAGTGTCAATGTCTCAGTCTCCAATGTTCAATGTGGCCCTGGCCACGGAATCAGGCAAGTAAAATCTCATCCCCAATTCAAACAAAAACTATTTTCCACCATCCCTTATAATCATTGCTCAGGGATTCTAGCTTACTCTACAAACAGCATAGGAAGCCTAGGGAAGTACCCAGATGAAGAAGACGTGATAGGAATTACAGTCCAGAACTGCACAATCAACGGAACCCAGAACGGGATTCGAGTCAAGACATGGCCAGGGTCGCCGGCGGGGAGTGCCACGGGGATTCTCTTCGAGAACATTGCTATGATCAATGTCTCCAACCCCGTTATGATCGATCAGGAGTACTGCCCATCACGAACCTGCAACATTACCAAGGTAAAGAAGTCAGTTACTTCAACTCTTCGTTTCCTTTTGTTATGTCTTTTCTGAGTCGGGCATTTCGTCGAACAGCCTTCGCGCGTGAAGCTGAAGGACATCGAAGTGAAGAACGTGACAGGGACTTACAACGGCGACGCCCCGACGCCGCCGGTGACGTTGTTGTGCAGCACCCACCAGCCTTGCGAGAACATTAACCTAATCGACATTGACCTGAGACCAACCGCAGGAGATGGGGATGCGAGGCCTCGGGGACTTTTCCAGATCAAAGGCTTCTTCAATGGTCTCCAAGTTGTTCCTTCAATTGCTTCTTCTCAATAGGCAACAGCAAACCGAAAATCGATCAGTCCCTCTACCATTTTACACTACTGTACACAATTTCTCCTTGTCTGGCAATATGTGTCAAATACTTTATTTTTATGATAAAATGGTCACCGCAATAATGCAATTACAATATTTAACTTGGATGATTAAGCTAGCTATTTACCAGTATTTTCGTGGCCATTTGATAATTTGTACTCAAATTACTCATTCGACCACAAAATACAGTCCTCCTCCACTGGCTTATTACCATTTACGAGGGGTTTTCTTTCTCCCGGAAGCGGGCAAGCGGCGACCTCGAACAACAATCTCTGCTATGGCGAATCTCGCATCCCGTCGGAGCCTGGCTTCGATTCTAACACGAGCGCTCTCATCTTCTTCTCCATCCACTTCATCCCCCTCGCTATCTTCCCGTTCTCGCTTCGCTTCGGCTCTTCTCGACGAATCCTCTCCGGCGCGGCTGCCGCCGCAGACGTACAATGTCCCCTCCCGATTCAAGACTTCCCGGTCCGGTTACTCGCCGCTGAACGACGCGTCGCCGAACTGGAGCAACCGCCCGCCCAAGGAGACGATCATGCTCGACGGCTGCGACTACGAGCACTGGTTAATCGTGATGGAGTTTCCGAACGACCCAAAACCTTCCGAGGAAGAGATGATAAACTCCTATGTCAAAACCCTCGCCGCCATCGTCGGAAGGTAAAAAAAAAGATAGAATTGAAATCTTTCCGTCATTCTCTCCGATTCGAACCCCTGTAATCTTAATTTGTGTTGTTATAGTGAGGAAGAGGCGAAGAAGAAGATTTATTCGGTTGCTACCAAGACTTACACGGGATTTGGCGCTCTGATCTCCGAAGAGCTCTCCTACAAAGCTAAAGGTATACCTTTATCAGTTTTTCCCTTTGAATTACGGGGTTTCTGGTATTAGCTCAGAGCTTTGATTGGGAAAAGAGAGGCTGAAATGTCGATTTGGACTAGTACTTAGCTACTAGAATTTGCCCCGTGGATTAGCGTTCTAGTGTTAGGAGATGAATTTGTAGGGTTTTAGCTCACAGCTTTGATTGGGAAAAGAGAAGCTGAAATTTCAATTTGTACTAGTTCTTAGCTACTAGCATTTCCCCCCTTCGATTAGGGTTCTAGTGTTAGGAGATGAATTTGTAGGGTTTAAGCCCAGGGCTGCTTTTGATATGTCGATTTCCCACTAGTATTATACCTTATGCCTTCTCTTGAATGTTAATTTAACTAATACGAGGGAGATCCCTTTGTTCGTCGTTGTGCTTTTGGAAACAGAATTGCCTGGAGTGTTGTGGGTTCTCCCAGATTCGTACCTTGATGTTCCTAACAAAGATTATGGAGGTTCGTACATTGGCGTTTGCTTCCAACATTGATTGAACTTATTTCTTGTTGTAAGGCATCATGAACCACTCATTTATGCTTCTATAACCTCTTGTGGTTCACCAGGCGATCTTTTCTTGGATGGGAAGGTGATACACAGGCCGCAGTATTGGTTCACTGAAAGTCAGAACAGTAGGCACAACAGGCCTCGTCCACGGTATGATCGTCGGAGGGAGACAATGCAGGTTAGGAGAGATCCTATGCCAACGTCGCAGCTACCACCATCTATCGGAGCTGGCCAGAACCAATCTCCACCGCAAAATGCTGGCTTCTCCGTGAATCAGCAGCAGCAGCAGCCGCCGCAAGGGCAGCAGTTTAACCAAAACAGGTCTTGAGGGGAACTATTTGCTTCACAAACCATAGCTTCATAGTTTCAATGGGGGTTTGACTGTTCTTTGTAGTCTGCAACTTACTGTTGGAAACTTGGAGTGCAAATTCGAAAGTTTCGATCCTTGTAATGGTCTTATTATGGTCAATAGTCTAGGTATGCTTATGAATACATTGATTACATTCTAGCTGAATGCAAATCAAGAGAGTGGCAATCTTTAGCTTTGAATTTGAAACTTATGAATCATCTTTCAAGCCAAGGAACCATTTCAAAACAGAGCCTCTTTCATTGCTAGTGTCGTCATTGTTCTATTATTCGTACATCAGTCACTTGTATTTTCTTGTGTTTGTGAAATCGCATTGGAGATTGCATCTTAATATTAGGGACCGAATGAGAAAGTTGTATCGGATAATAGCTTAGTTTGGCCCTGCTGTAGTTTTTGCATAAGCAGCTTCTGGCTGGAGTTTTTAGATAAATACTTTTCAAAAAAAGCAGTCGAGTGTTTGGTTGCAAAACTATTAGAAGTGTTTTTTAATATGATAGGTTGTGTAAAATGACTATAAATGACTTATAATATAAAATATGAATAAAAATTCCGAACAATAAAAAGTAGTCAAAATGGATTTTGTTAGATTTCTTTTATATTAATTAATATGATTTTATAATTTATTTTATTTTTAAAATGATATAAATGAGGGAAAATTATATTTTATGAAATAAAATTAAAATATGGTAAGGATAATCGTGTAGTTTCAAAACAGCTTTTCGCAGAAGCTCAAAATCGGAACTTGCGCTTTTATGTTATACAAAAACTCTTTTCGGCTTTTCAAAAGCCGAGCTTTTAGAAGTGTTTGGCTCTGCTTCGACTTTTGAAGTCGAAAAGCACTTCTAAAAGCCGGGCCAAACATAGGGAATATTTGTTACGATGGCCTAGTCAATACAATTAATTGGTATGATTTCATAAACATTGGTTACCGACTTAGAAGTACAACACCATACTTCTAAATTATCTCAAAAAATGCTTACATCTTTCAGCTGACTGAAATTGAAATTGTGCATTTCGCTACTCGCTAGTAATTTGTACACAATCATTTTCTCGGTGTTATCTTATTACGCTATTTTATGCAAAATATTTCGTATGGTCCCAAAAGTGGCATATTATTTTACGAGTTTCCAGAAATAGCCTTCAATATACAGCACATTAACTGCTCGAACCAGTTCCATTTTGGCCGACAATAGAAAGGGTTCAGAAAGCAACCGGAGCTTAATCACCGTCTGTCCGAAAAGGAAACGAACCCAATTACCCTCTCCACCGATCACTTTTCGGCGACCGGTGATCCAGATCTGATCTCTTTCTCTTCACCGTAAACCGTGAAGGTAATGGTGGAAAGCTTGCCGTCTCTCCGTTCCTGATCTGGATTCACTCGGTACGTTCCCTTTTTCTTCCTCGATCGTATCTCTTTCCGAAGTCGTTAGCTTGAATCTAGATAGGTTCCGCCATGAACTCAAATTACGGGAAAGGTTCATCTGGGTCGATGAATTCCTTCAATTTCGATCTGGGTCTTGGATCGAATCGCTCTAAACCCTTGAACGAACAGAGGAATCAGAGCTCCTCCGGTTACTCTTCGTATTCGTATTCATCCACGACTGGGTCGCAACCGAGGCCTGCTTTCCAACCGGGGAAGCCGTCATGGACTCACCAACCTGCTGCGGCGGCGAGTCAGCCAGCTCGCGCTGGGTTAGAGGGGCCGAATTCGATGGTCGGAGATATATTTGGCAAGACCTGGGGATCCACGGGTTCAGCTGCTAAGAGCTCCGGGATAGGGATTGGGATTGCAGAGAAGAACCCTAATTTGTTTGGCGATCTGGTGAGTTCTGCTTTGGGGCAGGGGAATAAGAGTGGAAGCAATGCCCCTTTGAAGAATGTGACTCCGGCGCCAAGTAAGAGCGCTTATTCCATGGGGAACATGGCGGATTCAATGCCTAAGGTTAGTGGTAACTCGGTCCAAAGTGGTGCAGGTTGGGGATCTAATAGGAATGTTAGCACTGACAGTGCTGGTAACGTGGGAGTGAATGGTAATAAGAGTGCGAATCTTGGTGGTTCTTCCATAAAAGGAATGGCGGGTGGAGGAATGATGGGGGTAAACAAGGACCCGTTCGTTTCTCTAGTCGACTTCTCGTCGAAGCCTTCTCAGTCTGGTGGTGGCCTTAACTCTGGCCCCAAAGGTAATAGTAAACCTAGTTCTAATGTCAATGATCCATTCGGTGATTTCCAAAATGCTTCAAAACCAAACTCAACTCCAGCTCCTTCTAGTGGGTTTGGTGCAAAAGATCCATTTGGGGATTTCCAGAACGCCTCAATACCAAGCTCAACTCCAGCTCCTTCTGGTGGGGTGGGTGCAAAAGATCCGTTTGGGGGTTTCCAGAACGCCTCAAAACCAAGCTCAGCTACAGTTCCTTCTAGCGGATTTGACTTTGGAATGCCGAGCAATGTCTTTGGCGCTCAGAAACAGACACAGTCGTCAGTTCCGGCTGCAAGCAGTGATCCACTTGGGGTGTTCTTCAACTCTTCAGCAGGAAGTGCTGCACCAGCATCTTCAGCAGGTGCAGGGCAGCAATTCTCGGAACTTGATGACTGGGGGGCGGATTCAGGCTTTGATGGTGCAGATGGTCCCACTACTACCGAGCTCGAAGGGCTTCCTCCACCTCCTGCGGGGGTTTCAGCTTCTGCTGCAAAGAACAAGGGTGTGGACCATCAAAAGCAAGGGCAGTATGCTGATGCCATTAAGTGGTTGTCGTGGGCTGTGGTGCTTCTTGAAAAATCTAAAGATAAAGCTTTATCTGCTGAAGTTCTGTCGACTAGAGCCTCGTGTTATAAGGAAGTTGGAGAGTACAAGAAGGCCGTTGCCGACTGCTCAAAGGTATCATCTTGTCTTTATCGTTTACTTGTCAATGATTATACAATCTTTAGGTTCTCTGAGTGTCAGGTTTCCGGATGGAAATCTCGGACTGAGGGAAGTCTCCCTCTGTTTATTGATGCCCACTAAGTTTTTCTAGAAGAGTCATTTGTCACAATCTTTTGCACAATCGGACTAAACCAAACAATGCTTTCCAAATACACCTGTAATAGCATGTTCATTGAGACTGCTAACATCAGTTCACAATTACACCGAATCAGTATGGATTATGCTTGGCTATGAGAGTCTCTTGTGCTTCACATTAGCGATGAGAGTCTCTTCCATAAACCCGGTGTTCTTGCCATTGTAGTAATTATGTTTTGCTGTTATTCACATTCTGGCAGGTGCTCGAAGGAGATGAAACCAATGTATCTGTGTTAGTCCAGCGAGCACTCCTATACGAGAGTATGGAGAAGTACAGGCTCGGAGCCGAGGATCTGAGGGCCGTTCTTAAGATCGATCCACTTAACCGGATTGCGCGGAGTACTGTCCACCGCCTGTCCAAAATGGCAGACTAGAGAAAAAGTACGCCCTTACTACATTGTATTCTAGCTTCTCTTTTCATATTGATACACTTAATGCCCCCTCTGTATGAAATCTGTGGGGGAAAGGGAACTTTTTTCCGCCCGAATGCCTGTATTACCATTGTGGATTTTTGCATGTATTCATTGTTTTCATTCTCGTGTTCTGTTTGCCTTTGAGACAAAAGAATTCATCTTCATCCCATACTCATTTTTTTCCATAGGAGATTCATTCCATACTCAAACAAGGCTTTTCTGTTTGTAATAATCACTATTCTGTCTCTTACTCCATGATTGCTATTGTGCCCAATCCATCAGGAGTTGTTGGTTCCTTGAAGAGTATACTGTTGCACCTGCACTATAAGAGACATACCAAATGTTTGTCATTCAGGAAAATACCAATATGAGGAATGTTGGTCAGACTACAAACACTGAATCACCCTTCTGTCACCGGCTCTGTGCCTTGGGTTGCCTGCTGCTACCTACGGTTGAATTGATGATCCTATATGTATAGGTTTGCCGATAGTCGTTGCGAGTTAGGTTCTGATTAATGTTTCAAAATAGAAAGTTGGGAGATTATTATTGATCAAACCGTTCTCATTGGATCATCTATTGTCGTCATAATTGAATCGACGATTATGGTATACTCAAAGAATCTCTCTCGCTTGTTATTCGACCTTCCGACTTGCCACATAAAATATGAAGAGGAGGAAATATCTAGGGGGGGGGTCAATCATGGATTCTTGAAATCCATCCATTTGAGCAACCCAATAAGGTCCTTCTCCATCCACATATGGACACTACTCTGAATTTGAGCTCCTTGTACATTTACTCTTCTGAAAGCTACTACCAAACAATCATTGCCCAGTGCCCACTACACAGTTACATACAGGATCCACATCCATTAAATGCCACCAGCAGAGAGAGTCAGTCAAAATCCACCTACTGCTTACTCTCACCAAACCCTTCTTCTGCCACCAGCAAACTAAAAGAAGCAGCAGACTACTAAATGCAACCATCATCAATTCCTTCGTGCTGCTGGAAAAATGTAAATATCTCGATACAGAGAGGCCAAGATCTGGAATGGAGAAGAAGCAACAAAGTACACGAACTGCTGAAAGTGGAGAGGAAGAAGAAGAGGACAAATTGGATGAGAGAAGGGGGAGATGGGTGCCCTACTACAAATGACGGCATGTATGTATGTATGTGAAGACTTTTATCCTCTCTTGCTGGCTGTTGCAGCTGCTTATAGTATTTTTGTTTCTTGGGAAGAGGCCATGAACGGTATTGAAGAAATGAATGGAAGGAAGGCGTGGGGGGATCTGCAATTTGTCCAACAGAAAGCAATCAAACGCAGCCCTTTTCTTTATATAAAACCTCCAGCTTAGCTGTTTCCCAGCAGCCTGCAGCAACTTGCTCCCTCCCATCCCTGCTCATTCTCTTAATTCTTTGCAAGTGGTATCCAATGGGTAAATCTCAGTTACCGATTTTTCTTAAAATGATGCATCTAGTAAAAAACTGGTTAATTCAAGATTTATGTGACATTTTCTTACTAAAAGCGTGTGGTATCTTAATTTGACAGGATACAGAACTCGCTGTATATATGACTATATGTTGAAGGATGAATTTGGGTGAGTTATCCTCTCAATGCTCTAATTTGAGAGCATTTCTTAAAGCTTCTTTTCATAGCATGTTGTTTACTACCTAGGTTAATTTCTTTTGCAATGGATCGATTCACTCAGAAACACAAATTAGGCAAATTAAGGAAGCACAACAACAAGAAAACTCTACATCAAGTTTGATTGCATTACGAGTTCTAACTCGGACCGTAATGAATCCGATCGAATTCCTGTCATCGACTAAATCACGCACATTTTGCGCTTCTGTGTGTGCCTTTGTTTTCCCACCGCACTTCGTCGAGATAAGTTCACTTAATAAATTCCAGCCTTGTTTACTATTCCACAACGGACTTACACAATACGAAATTGAAAATTCAGCTTGATCGATAGATAGATTTTTGTGTCTCTACTATTTTGTATCATTACTAAAATCCATCATAGCTAACAGTCTGCACTCCACAATTGCTCATTGAATTCCACCAAAGTTTACCACTAATAAATCAAATCCTAAATGCCTTAGCATGATCAAGAGGATGTCTTAATTTGGGACCACCGAACATAATTGCAGAATTAAGCCCAACAGTCTAATCGGTGGGCTGGGCCAGCGGGTCTGGAAATCCCCCTGTCAGCCCAACAAGTTTACTCTACTCTCAAAATCAAATCCCGGCAGAGTTAAGTAACGGAAATGACTGCCCGAAAAGCAAAATAATAAAAGAGGCTCACGAGCGTTACTCTGCAAAGAAATCTGGTCAGCCCCATAATTTGCTCCCCCAATTACCGACAGCCACGTGGATACCATTTGTCGTCCCAATGGTGCTTCCTCGCTCCCTTTTCTTTCATCCAACGGCCACGTTTCCTCCACACGAACCCCTTCCTCAATCTTTTCTTTTTTCCCATCGTCCGTTTCACCTCCTTTTCGCCCTGATCCCCTCTCCACCGTCCGATCAACAAGTTAAGGAAACTGGTCGTCATAAAAACAGCGCAGAAAGAAAACGTGAGCCCCACCTGGGCCTGGGCCAGGACCTTCGAGTAAGTATGTTCCAACCCGGTCAGAAATTTTTAACCGGTTTTGAATAAGTTCAAAATTGGGTAAAGAAACTGAACCCAGTTTTTTTGTTTATTTGCAAAATTATCCATTCTAAAATGAGATAACAAAAAATAAATCACACCGATTTAGTTTTGGTTTGGTATAAATATTGGTGCATTTGTTTCTTAACATCAATCCGTACTAAGCATAATTCAATCTCATTTTTAAATATTATACGCTTCAATCTGTGCATAATTCAACAAATTCTAAAAACCATTCATAGAATCTATAAAAAAAACTATTCCTGGAAGAAACAAAACTAATATATTCAATGTTCAATTCCTTTCTGGTTATCTCCCATGATTCCAATCAAAATCTAACAATTTCAGCCAATTCAATCCCATTCGATTTAGTATATTATAAGAATAAAAAAAACAATCAAAACTACTTAATTTGACAATAACATTTGGGTTTGCCCTCTACTCATTTTAATTTATTTTATTTTCAACGATTGAAATATAATACCGTACCGATTATTCGACTAAAAAATCGCCTGCTGAAAGCGAAATTGAAAGGCGATATCTGTTAGTAGTAACCACAGTTAAACACCAATTTCAGCATAACCCGTGTTTATTTTGCAATTCAATTTTGGATCGGACCGAATCAGTCACCCAATGGCAACCGACCCATGATTGATTGTCGTTTTCCTCTGCCCCAGTGGTTGTAACCGTTTCCTTTCTACACTCTTTTCTCTATATAACTCCACCGCCTCCTCCTCCTCCTTAACCCTCCTCCTCAGTCTTGCTCCTGCAAGCAAAAAAAAAATAAAAATGTGCGGCGGTGCGATCATTTCCGGCTACGTCGACGAGAAGAGCGGCCGTAAGTTGAAGGCCAAGGAGCTCTGGTCGGAGCTCGACACGCTCTCCGACTTCCTCGGCTTCGGCTTCCCCGGCAGCCACGATACCAAAACCCTTAATCCTCCCCATCCAGGTAATTAATTAAATATCCATCTCCGATTTTCACGGCCTTTCAAACGTTTCTCCGGTTCGGGTCGGATCGGCGGTTTAATCGGGTCGGGTTTCCGTTTGCAGGCGAAGATAATGAGGTGAAGAGTAATAATAATAATAATGAAGATAGGGATGGCAAAAATATCCGTAACCGTGGATATCCGTCCGAATCCGGCTTAATTGGGTAGGGTAAAACCCGAACCCGAAGGACATTTAGTGGGTACGGGTAAAACCCGAACCCGAATATTGCGGGTAATGGGTGGGCATGGGTTTCTCAGTATCCAACCCGAACCCGCCCGATTATACACATACATATGTATTTTGTCTAGAAATAGTCATTATTTTTCTCTAACATATTTTATATTTAGCATATAAATATAATATTTTCATGAAATTGTGTCGTTTTAATTAATTTTCTTCATTCAAGTCAATTATTGTCATACTTTTCCTCTTGCGTAATGTGAGAATACGTGTGAATGTTAACATATTAGTTGGAGTTATGAAGAGAAATCATTACCCATGGATAACCGTGGATACCCGAAACCCGAACGGGTATGGACATGGTTTTAATTTTCTACCCGTTTTATATGTTGATATGGGTATGGGTAAAACCCGAACTACTTTGGGTAGGGTAACGGATATGCACTATCCGTCCCCGACCCGACCCATTGCCATCCCTAAATGAAGATAAAAAGGAGCGGCGGCAGAGAGCGCGGAAGAACGTGTACAGAGGGATACGGCAGCGGCCGTGGGGGAAATGGGCGGCGGAGATCAGAGATCCGTACAAGGGCGTCAGGGTCTGGCTGGGGACCTACAGCACGGCGGAGGAAGCCGCTCTGGCTTACGACGGCGCCGCCAAGCGGATCCGCGGCGACAAGGCCAAGCTCAATTTTCCGGACATCTCCGCCGCCTCGAAATTCCCTCCGCCGCCGCAGACGGGCGGAGATGAGGAATCAGCAGCATCTTCCGATTATCAACCGCCAGCCAAGAAACAGTGCTTCGCCGTCGGAGCCGAACTTCCTCATCCTCCTCCTCTGCTGGCGGCGCAACCGTTTCTGGGATTCGAATTCGACAACAACGAGCCGCCTCCGCCGCCGGCGGCGGCGGAGGTTGTGAGCAGGCCGTACGAGCTGGAAGAGCAAATCTCGAGCCTGGAATCGTTCCTGGGGCTGGAGCCGGAGGTAGCGGCGGAAGGCGGCGGCGAAGAAGTGACGGTGGATCTATGGATGCTGGACGACCTGGTGAACCAGTACCAGTACCAGCAGCTGCCACGTCAGGTGGCTTACTGAGAGAGAGAGAGTGAGTTGAAGAATAAAATAAAAACAGATGGAGATGAGATTAACTTGTTAATGAAGCAATTACCAGTTCTGGCTTAGGCTACTGATTAAGGTCGGTAGCGTTTCAGTTTAGATGTCTGCTCTGTTGGATGATGATGATTATGAGTGTACTGTTTTTTGTATTATGCTTTCTGTTTAATATTTCTGTATTAAGGGTACTCTAATACTTCCCGCTTTATTTTTTGGTCTTTTTATTTTGGGCTTGTGGGGGCAATCTGGCGCTTGTTTCAATCCCCTGTCTGTTTAAAAATAAAGTAATCATGTTTAATCAAGGTACTTTGTGTGTTATTAATTAAGTTCATGCTCCAGTTTCCCCTTCAATTCCGCAATGGTATCGACACTGGACCAACAGAATCTCTCGTAGTTAAAAACGATCGATCAATAATCTTGTAGTAGATCAACTCCAGTGGGTTTTAAATTTTCATTAAACCGTATTGTTACAGCAATAAACGATTACCAATTTTACGACCTAAGTATTTCTTATACACTTTAGATAATACGTCGCAATTGATCAACTTCAGATAACACAATTAATGCGGTATCAAACCATGTAACTCTTATGGTCGTCACTTACACATATATACGGTCGCTTAACAACAAAATCGAGTGAATTTATTCGAGCCGAGAATGCATTGAACTAAAATCGAAACTAAATTAGATAATTCTCACACAACAACGATCGAACACTCTCGTTCGAATATTACTCTCGCCGGAAAACAACACAGATCACAGAACCACTAGATACCAGTGAAGGGGCGTCCACCGTATTCTGGTACGGATATATACAGTAGATCAGCCAAGGAAAATTATTATGTCATAAAATACATGCGTGTGTATATCTATACGGCGGGGGTGATGTATATGTAGCCGTAAACTGCAAAATCGTGCGTGTATGGCAATGGCACAACACAGTGAAGAAACAAAGTTATATATATCTCCATGCAATCGGATTGATGAGTCGTCCAACGTTGAAAGTCTTTCCGTTTTGGAATTGAGCTCTTCGAACAGTTGGTTGGGTTCTTCTTCTCGAATGCACTAGCTCCTTGTTTTTATGCTTCCGCCGGATTCCATTTCAATCTTACACATTCAATTTCTACGTATATCTTTTCGTACATATTTATGATATAAATTGAACTTATATATTATTTAATATTATGGTGTCAACTAAACTTGTACCTGTAATGTAATGATACAAGTTAATATTTGACACTTTGGAGCATGGTTGAGCTCCACATAACAACATGTAAATAATATTCTACTCGAAGTTGGATGGAATATTAGTTACTGTAGAAATCGTCATTCATTCTTCCCTTTTTTTTTACCGTTGACCGTCCGAGATGTAGGATGAATTTCATTGAATGGAGACGAGAATGGGACATCACCAACTTGCTACCTAGCTAAGGATCCGCTTTGTCGATTCTATGTTCAATATTCATAGCCATCTTTGTTACATATTCGGTTGTCGGTTCATGGAATTGGTGTCAACTAGTTCCATCAAGTCATTTATTGCCACCCTTATGTCATCATTTTACATTACTAAAGTAAATAATAATGATAATATTAATAATAACAAAAAATTGAGCAATAACGAGTTTTCACATACAAAATTATGTCGTTCTGTTGAAGGTAAGTTTCGTAGCCGCTTGCATCTGTAGCCAACTCATCATGAGTGCATGCGAATAACACACGCACCCCGTACTCACTTTTCCACGGCCGGTACGTCACAATACACGTTTGTCTGTTACGTGTTGAAATTAACTCGGCCTCAGGTTGCTTATTTTGTTTGGGGTGCAGGGTGTCATAATTATATAATTCAGTTTTGAATTATGTCGTCTTGTTATATGTATAAGTATTTCCTAACTGCTTGATTTGTAGTTAGCTCCTCTCGTTAGCATGCGAATATGCTAAAAATTTCATTTATTTGTATGTCACGATAGACAATCACCCGTTATGAAAAAATAACGTGACATCAGACTACTTATCTGTTGAGTGTTGTAATATCATTCAACTTTCGAATTATGATATTATTGGTTTGTCAACCCAACCTATTGACTTGTGCATTCTAGAATGGAGTCATTTTGTGCCATTTTGTTCTAAAATGGTTTAGGCTCAACTCCCATCACCTATGCTACCCAAGCTTGTAAGTTAGCTCCACTAATTGAAACATAAATCATTTTGTTAGTTAGCTAGGCTATATATAACTTCCAATTCCAAGTTGATAAAAAAGAATGCCAAGAGGGAGAGTAATAAACTAGTTTCCAACGTAATTATTGTACTAGTAATCGTCGTCATTTTTATATATATATCCAGGAAGGACTTTTGCTTGCTTTGCTTATGGAGATAGATAAAAGCCAAAGAGACGACAAATAAGACATAAACACTAAACCTGAAATTTAGTGGAGGTTCTCCCATCATCATCAAGATTTGGACTCAATCCTATATATACAATCCAAAAAATGAATTGCAAGTTGAGAGGAAGTAGGGGATCCTTTGAGTTGCCATTCGATCATCGCAATGATTGATGAACCTTTGATCAAATATATTTTATGACGAGACTTTAACATCTATGTACGATATTATTTTGATATGTCATAATTCATAAATACTCGACATCGGTATACTAACAAGTCATTTGAATACACAAAGCATTCAAATTGGTCCAGTAAAGTATGATTCGTAATTAAGCACTCCGTCAATATGAGCTTGATTACCATTCTATTATTCTAAGAATTAACCCAAAAGCCGCCAGTGTGTGAGAAAGAGCAAGTGAATTACCCTTTGCCCTTCTTTTTACTCCCCACTGTCCAGAAGGAAAGCAAGGTGCATGGATATGCCTTGAAACCTAACTAGCTTTGAAATGTTGCCATGTTTTGACTACTAAGAAGTTAAAATTTCCAGAGGAATAGCATATAGTAGTTTATGTCCAAGTGATAATAATAGTAAATAACAAGTTGTATAGCAATATCATCATTGTCGACGCATAATCAAATCCACCATTGATGTACTCCGACCACTTGTTATAAAATGTTGGTTCTGAATGCATAACATCCCGAGCTAATTGATTCAAAAAACTCAAGTTTTTTTTGAATAGCAAAAAAAAAAAAAAAAAAAAAAACTCAAGTTATTGAAAGAGTTTTTAAATTTTTTATTTACAAAAATACAACAATTTATTGATTTTTTTTAAAATATCAACGACATGTATCATTTCATTAAATTTGTGAAACATGAAAACGAATAATAAACTTAGAACGAGGGGTTATCTCATGTCCACATTGACGACTTAGAACAATGAAACAATTTCGTATATTCCTAGTTCGCGATTAAGCCACGGACAATCATTTGATTTCAATGTTGTTGAGTCAACGATTATCTGAGTAGTCACATAATGAAGTTTGCATCAATCGTTTGTATCTGCATGTCATTAGCAGCTTATACTGTATCTCATATGGAGAGTTGATGTAAGAGAAAAGGATGGATGAAAGAGGGGCCGTGAAGATCGAAGTGTGGAGGCCACGAGCACGAAACCAATCATGATTAAGCACTAATTATGTTCAGGTGCCCATACATGATTTATTAGGCACATTAATTATCTAAGAGCAGGTGCAGTGCAGAGGCAATAAATGGGGTTTCTAATTATGCTCAGCAGTGAAGATGCATGAACACAACCCCTAAATCATAACATAAAATAATTATTTAGTATCTAAAGTGGGACCTTTAATTTGGCATTTTCACATTTTGTCATTTTCAAACCACCCACATGGAGGAGAGATTTCTTGTAGTTGTGGGAAACAAGAAAATTTAAGGCAATTTTTTTTAAACAAAGTGCCAATATATCTTTTCATAGTTTGGCCACATTTTTCTTCTTAAGCAGGAAAATTCTATTCTGTGAACAAAGTTAACGAATCAGTTTCGGCTGAGTACTTTTATAAATATAGTTTGCCCTGCTGTAGCTGTGCAGAAGCAGCTTTTAGCTGTAACTTTTAGATAAGTACTTTTCAAAAAAAAAAAAAAAAACAGTTTAGTGTTTGGCTGTAAAACTATTAGAAGTGTTTTTAAATATGAGCGGTTGTGTAAAATGACTATAAAGGACTTATAATATAAAATATAAATAAAAATTCTAAACAATAAAAAGTAGTCAAAATGGATCCTGTTAGATTTCTTTTATATTAAATAATATGATTTTATAATGTATTTTATTTTTAAAATGATATAAATGAAGAAAAATTATATTTTCTGAAATAAAATTAAAATATGATAAGGATAATCTTGTATTTTCAAAAAAGCTTTTCGCAGAAGCTCCAAATCGGAGCTTCTGCTTTTATGTTATACAAAAGCGCTTTTTGGCTTTTCAAAAGCCGACCTTTTAAAGGTGTTTGACCCTGCTTCAACTTTTGAAGCCGAAAAGCACTTCTAAAAGCCGAGCCAAACATAGGCATAGTTATATGGCTGCCACACCCCCTCAATTTCGGTGATTGATTGATTCATGGCATTATTCATTCAAGAACTATACACGATCCTTCTTGTTCTTGAGCCGATTAATCATGAAACAAATTACATGGGTGTTAGGGTGTATTAGTTTATTAGGCTAGAATTATACGGAGAAGAAGAGAACAATCCTGTCAGCAACCAATCAAGTCGAATGAAATGGAGATTCAAGCCAGATTAAAAAAGAGGCTGTTACTTGATTTCAATCATCAAAGACCAAAGTGAAGCCTGTTTATTACTCCTGCTGCGATTTCTGGTCTTGATATTTCCTTTACTATTGATATGTTTCTAATATAGATTTGATCTGATTTTAGATTAGATCAGACCATACAACACCAATCTAGTTCTCTCCTTCATAAGTAGAGTCCTCCGGTTCAACCCGAAAGCATACAGCCCTCCAGTTTTAAGTGAGTCTTGAAACTCTTGAGGCTTGAAACTTTAGTTATGCTTATATCAAAAGCATAATCGACAGGTCTGCCGATCTAACAGATACATGTCCATCTAGATGAACTCAGAATCCAAGACAACCATCATTCAGTTCAGAAGTGGAAGCCGACACAAGAGCGCCTTACGCACCGACATTCAAGCAGTGCAGCAAACACACCTCGAACAGGGTACAAATCAAAACTCCACAGACAGACAAACTAATGGATACGAGAAGGAAAACGATCACATTTAGTCGCATTGGAACGAAAGACAGCATGGTGAGTGAGAATTCCCTTCTGCAGAATCCTTCATTATAGTCACATAATCGACATATATCATACGCCCCCAACATAGCTAGCACAATGAATGAACTCTCAAGAAACCGACTGCTATCCAACACGAACTACTTGCTTGCTCATCCTACTAGCCTAATGTAATACACTTCAAGACATAACAACTAAGCTGAAAAAAAGAAGCAGCACAGTGGTAACTTCAATCTGACAGAAGGTGTACAACCAGCTATTGAATGCTTTGACATACTGATTATGGCATGAATCACTTAATAAGTCACAAGTCAGGCTTCTTTCCCTACATCACCCAAAAGCTACAGAGGATCAACAACCCTGGTTTTTTAATTGCCAATTCATCCTCAAGGTTAGCTAAATATGTCACTATTCACATGACCACGTCATACTTGAGCCGGCTCCACGATCCACTAGACGCATTTGTTTAAAGAACTGAACTTTGAAGAGAAATAAGGTATAGAATAGATTAACCCGACACTGGAATGAACAGAACTCCCCTAAGGCCTAAATGCAAATTAAGTATATGTACAAATCAAATCGATCAGATCCCTCTAATGGATTCCATAATGACAATGTATATATATGTGTGTTTCTCCCTTCTTTCTTTCACTGAGAGTGGAACAATGGCGATAACCATAACCATATACAATATGTACATCAAAGGAAGACTAGTTCAATGTCTGTTTCTTGTTCACCCAATTCTCTCCTATAGTTGCAAGAGTCTGAAATTCGTTACCAGAGGTCAGTAGACGGGAGTCAGTCCCATTTGATGAACCTTTGCTCTCTGCTGCAGCTCACCATTCCCAACCCCATCCGCCATGATTCTGGCAACCTTCTTGAAAGCAAAATGCACACAGTTCGACAGGGCAATCCAGTATACCACCTCGTAGACGAACCCATAAGCGAAGTTGCAACTCGACCACCAGGAAGAAGACGATTCGTCCCAATTCTGCTCACCAAACCTGCCAAAATCCCAACCGCCGCCGCCGCTGCCCCACCTCCCTCCGCCGCCGCCGAATCCGAACGGACCCTCGCCGCCGCTGCCGCCTTCGTCCCCGCCGAAAACCCCAAAATCATCCGAGTCTCCGCCGGTCGAGGAACCCCGCTTGGTGCGTCTCTTTTTCCGGATCAGCGTCCGGCGGGCAGTTCGGTGCTTGTTCGGCTTCACAGGAGGCGGGGCCAGCGCGTCCACGATGATCGCCGAGGTTTGGAGGACGCTGGCGATCGGGTCGGCGGGACAGTCGGAGAGCGCGAGGTTGCTGATCGAGAGGAAATTTTGGCGCGGGAGAGGCAAATTCGCAAGCCCAAACCCTAGCCCCTGTTCGCTGGCAATTGCTGTGACTGCATCGGCAACCAAGGACAGATCCATAACCATTTTTCGGACACAAAGATACCGATGGTAGTAACTAATCGCAGCGGGAACAGAGCAGGGATTAGGGTTGGGGGAATTTTCCGGGAAAATTTCGAGGGAAAAATCGCAGTCGGCGAGAAAATTGCTCGCCACCAAACTTTCTTTCACTGTTGAAAAAAAAAGCAAAAAATAAATAGATAGGGATAAGGACAAAGTAGATTTCTAGACGAAACCGATGGCTATTATCAAATTGGTCATCGAAATTGTCAATGGGCTTACTTGCATTATGGGCCTTCCACTGGGGAAACATATTCAGGCCCATGGCTCCATCACAATCTGAGGCCCAGCCCAATCTCGAAATACGATAACCCTACAGCGAGTCTGGAAGATATAAACCTTCCGTTCAGCCGCCATCTCCCTGAAAAGTGAAAACCCTTCAGTTTGCTGCGGTCACGTCGTCGGTCGGTGGAAGAAGAAGAAGGGAAGGGAGCGATGGTTTCGTTGAAGCTCCAGAAGCGGCTTTCTGCCAGCGTGCTCAAGTGCGGCAAGGGAAAGATATGGCTCGATCCCAATGAAGCCAACGAGATCTCCATGGCCAACTCCAGTAAGTTTCTTCTTCTCTTCCTTCGAACTCGTATTTCCTCACTGTTCATTTCATCTCTCCCGAGCTGGAGATGGCTGTGTAGATTAGATCGAGGGTGTGTTGGAATCTGTTTAGAACGTTAACGGATATTTCTCGCTGGGAAATCACTCTATCGCAGCTCATTTCCTGCTCGGTGTTACGAATTAGGGTTTGAAGTTAATTAGGGTTTTTTTTTTCAAAATTACAGGGCAGAATATCAGGAAGCTGGTGAAGGATGGTTTCATCATTAGGAAGCCAACGAAGATCCACTCGAGGTCTCGTGCAAGGAGGATGAAGGAGGCGAAGAGAAAGGGTCGTCATTCCGGATATGGTATGGTCTTTGTTCTTTGTGATTCTCTTTCGGTCTTTGTGTTTGGCGGTTTATTCCAACTGAATTTCATTGGTGTTCTCTATCTAGGTAAGAGAAAGGGTACCCGTGAGGCAAGGCTGCCAACCAAGATTCTGTGGATGAGGAGGATGCGGGTACTGAGACGGCTTCTGAGGAAGTACCGCGAGGCCAAGAAGATCGACAAGCACATGTATCACGACATGTACCAGAAGGTGAAGGGTAATGTGTTCAAGAACAAGCGTGTGCTGATGGAGAGCATCCACAAGTCGAAGGCAGAGAAGGCTAGGGAGAAGACGTTGTCTGATCAGTTTGAGGCTAAGCGTGCGAAGAACAAGGCCAGCAGGGAGAGGAAGCTTGCCAGAAGGGAAGAGCGCTTGGCACAAGTAAGTTGATGGTTTTTTTCTTCTTCCATTGATTGGTTCTTTACCTGTCACTTGCGACTGAATGATCATATTGTGATTTGTTTGTGTACTTTCAGGGACCTGGTGTGAAGGCCGAACCAACACCTGCACCTCAAACGACCGAGTGAGCATCCTATCCGTATAATTTTATTGTTTTTCATCTTGTTAAGTTGTTGGTAAAGGGTTCCTTACAGCGTGCTTCAACTTTTGCAGGGGAGGAGGCAAGAAAGCCAAGAAGTGAAAATTTTCTGTTTGGGAGACCAATAGCTAGCTGACTCTATGTCAATGTCTTTTGCTGGTTAGGAGTCTGTTTTTCTAAAATGAATCGTCCTATGTTTTTTTGGTGAATTATCTCCCTTCCAACTCTATTAGAGTATGAAATTTTGGTAACTTATGGACGGTGATATCTTTCCTCTCCAGTGGAATGTGATATGTTCAATGGCTTGTTATCTGGATTTGATCTTTCATGTGAGTTATCGGTGGATTGCTCGAGGCGGATTATGATAGCGAAAGTCGTTGTATGTGTGAATGGAGATTGCTTGTGTCTATCCCTTTGGCATCAAGGTTGCGTTTGGTTCAATCAGACTAGAAATTTGTGATAATGTTGATTTGTTTATTGTAACCGTGCTTAGGTTGTATTGTTAAGTAGCTTCGATTGGTCAGTTGCTTGCATTTGCTATTTGCAAGATTACTCGTCTACTTCCAGACGATCATAATGAATAAAATTATCAGTGCAATGACTTAGTAATCTTGGCATTGATAGTTTGCTTTTAAAGTTGTGAAAGTGGAGTCTTTGCATGAATAAAATTATTTGTTGTCGTTGTGATTGCAGTGGAGTGTTTTGTTATCGTTCTGATTTCAGTTGAATTCACTTGTGACAATTGAGGTACAACCACTATCATGAAAATAAGAAAACATTTAACACGTTTACTTCTTTAGGTCTTGTTTTGTATCTTTGTAAGTAAGGAAGTTACTTAAAACGATTTCACTAGTTTCGGCTAATTTCTGTTGGTTGTGTTGTCACAACAATGTATGAAAATAGAACTAAGCACGTTAGGAGTCTTTATTTTAACCAGTTGTAAGCAAAGAGCATGGCAGAGAGTGCACGATAACCCAACTTACCTAGGTGTACATAGGCCAAACTTTGGGTCAAGTGAAGCCAACTTGGCACTCCTTTTTCTGGCAGCTCAATTCGAGCTAGGGCAACCTTTGAGTCTAAACCACACTCATTAGCTTTGTCTGCGATGACTGAATATTGATTTTAGTAACAACTTTGGTTTAGCTCATGTGCCATTTGAAATGAACGGTTCATGTGAGCTAATTTAATTGAGACTGTTCTTAATGTTAACTTAGTCGAGTTAACACTAAATTGAGAACATGATGGGAAAAAAAATGTGGACGAAAATGTAACAGGTGATAGTTAACGTTAACTGTTGATTGAAATTCAGCCAAAATCACCACGATAAAATCTCACGATCACGACGCGATGTAACCATGAATTTTTTTTTGGTAAATGGATGCAGTGCATCTCAGCCTTCATTCAAAACCAAACGGGGTTCAGAGAGCCCCTGGCAATCGTACATAATGAAATTACACAGGGTGGGATCAGAACAGGAGATGGAGTGATAACCTAGAGGCAACAGATGCCCTCTACTAGCAAGATGATCAGCACATTTATTCCCTTCTCTATAAATATGGGAAACAACAACTTCCCATTGATGAGTGACAACTCTTTGAATCTCTGGATAATGGCCGCCTGTTGATGATCTGGGGGGTTCAAGCTGCTGAGGAGCTGAACCGCACAGAGAGAATCAAGCTCCACTCTGACACGTCTGAAGTAACCATGATAAATTTGTGAATTCCAATGATAAATTTGTGAAGAATCAAAAGTTCAGGGGTGAATTCGTTAACTGGCTTAAAGTTCAGTGACCGGTCGTTCTGTTTGACGGGAGAAGAATGGCGAGCTGGCCAAATTCCAAGCTTCCTCTTTGAGATTTCCGCAGTAAACGTGACGACAATTGAAGGCTAGTTTGACGATTTTCCATTGTTCTCTTCTCTCTGTGTTAGGAAACCTTTTTCGCTCTTTTCGAGCAAATAAAAATCATGATAAACAAATAATACGAAAAAGCGAGAGAGAAATATCTCAAAATGGAAATATAGCGCTAATTCGAAACGCCCAGCGCATTTCCCCATTCTTCCACTTCATTCCCTTCTTCGTTCTTCCCTCCAATCCTCCCGTTGGTTCCTGTCTCCGTCTCCATCTGCAATCTCCCATTCAATCGGCGGGGGAGAAAGCTTTAGATCCAAGAAACCGACCTGAGCTCTCTCTCCTCATCCTAATCGGATTCCTAGCCTTGTAATTGCATTCCCGATTTCCGAATTTATCGTTAGCTTACAACCGAAGATTAAAGGTGGAACGCGCGAACTCGCCGTCGTCGCAGCAGTTTATGGACGGTGGCGGAGGAGGAGGCGGCCCGCGGTACGTCCACATGCAGTCGGAGTCACCGCAACATCCGCCGCTGGGGCAGGCCGCGCCGGCGTTGTCATCGTCGTTCTTCTCGTTCCACGGCCCCGTCCCCGAACAATCGCGGATTTTCGAGGAGCTGCCCAGGGCTATCATCGTTCAGGTTTCGCGGTCTGATGCCGGCGACATTAGCCCCGTCCTTCTGTCTTACACCATCGAGGTTCAATACAAACAGGTGCGATCAACGATCTCTCTCGCTTTCTCCATCTGGCGGTTTGTTTGGTGGTCGAATTCACCAAAATTTGTGTTGAATTGCGTGTTTGTTATGCTGAATTTCGAAGCTAATGTGTGGTTCTGATGAATGGCGAGATTGTGTTGTGCGACGATTCGTTGCATTCAGCGGGTTCTGGGTGTTAGTAACTTAATTTGGAGCTGTTCTGTGATAGATATTCTGGATTTGATTGTTTCTCCTTGCTTCAGATGATCTTTTATCTTATTTATCTATGTTGCGTTGGTGTTTCCAGTTTAAGTGGCAATTGCTGAAGACGGCTGCGCATGTTTTTTATTTACACTTTGCGTTGAAGAAACGAGCATTGTTCGAGGAACTTCAGGAGAAGCAGGAACAGGTGAGTGAGAGAGGCTGTGTGTTTGTATTATGAATCTGAAATTTTGTTTTCCTGCTGCACGTTGGTTGTGGAGGTGTTTAGTTTTGATGTGTTTCTGGCTTGGATGGATCACAAAATGAAAGGTTAAAGACTGGCTTCAAAATCTAGGGATGGGGGAGAATACACAAGTGGTGGAGGGTGATGATGATGACGAGGCAATTCCGGTACAGCAACAGGATGAAAGTTCTAAGAACAGGTAAAAGGAACTGCTGTCCTTTCTTTTGTAGATGCCACCCACTAGAAGCTGCCATATATGATGCCCGTCTTTCCCTTGCTCTCTGGATTACTCGCTGGTTGGTGGTTCTTATAGTTCTTATAGGTGGGTTTTCTGTTCAGAGATGTCCCTTCGAGTGCTGCATTGAATGTGTTTCGTGCGCCGTCCTTGGGAAGACAGCAGTCCATGTCGGATAGAGCGAAGGTATCAATGCAGCAGTATCTCAACCATTTTTTGGGGAACATGGATATTGTCAACTCTCGAGAGGTAAGCTTTTGTAAGCTTATGGATTGATCTGTGGCACTTCATAGGATTCAAAGTGTCATTTTGGGCTGAATGATGGCACAGATGCCTGTTACTGATATATGGTTGTCGAACATCTTAGCTCTATGGATGTATGGCTTCATCGTGCATTGTATTCTTACTGCATTACATTTATGCTTATCTCAGCATGTTCAAATTTCATGGCCTTGTCATGTGTGTTTTCTCATTGTCAAATTATTTCCATGTGGTGACTGTCAAGGGATTTTGGATCTGGAACCCTCTCTTTTATAAGTGATATAAGCCCTCGGTGATGTTAGCATCATAATAATGTCAATTCCTTAGTGTCGGAGTCATTCATGTCCTGTCCGTGCTTTTTCTACTTGTAATATGTAGAATTGTTGTTGTGCTGTTCTCCATACCAAATTATGTGGGCTAGTATTTCACATCAGATCCCCTCATTTATTTTATTTGCCACATGACTCATCGGATTTTAATTATTGTTTCAGTTTCGTCTTGTATCTGCTCTTTCTTTGCTTCTAGGGGCATTCTAGTTGATACCTTGAACTTTCATTTTCCCTTAAATGTTCCTTGGAAGAGGTTGGATACAATCATACTGCTCTCTTGGGATGCATTGGTTTCTCAGAAAGAGTACTCTGAACGATTAGATTTTACATTCCATCAGATAGTAATACTTTGCCTTTGGGAACTTATACTGCAGGTTTGCAAATTTTTGGAGGTTTCTAAGCTGTCATTTTGCCCTGAATATGGACCTAAGCTTAAAGAAGATTATATTATGGTGAAGCATCTGCCAAAAATTCCAACAAATGAGGACAATAGGAAATGTTGTTCCTGCGGCTGGTTTAGCTGCTGTAATGATAATTGGCAGAAGGTAATACAAACTTGTTTTTTATACTTTTGGTTAAATTGATGTGTCGTACTGCTTGTATGCAGAAAGGAGGGGTTTTGATGTGTTCTCTGTTAGATTCATGCTCATGACAAAATGTTTGGCTCAAGTTTATGATAAAGTTTTCATTACCCAGTCCAGAGAGCAGGTCATGCCTATTTTAAGCAGGCTACTACAAATGATAGCTTACCCATATGTTAATTGTGTAACTGTTAACCATGCAGAAAGGCACTCACTACTGTGTGACTAAGAATCTTCAATGTGAGAAATTATGATGGTTGTGTGCAATAAGTAGTATCATACTATTATGTGCAGGTGTGGGCTGTCCTCAAGCCTGGATTTTTGGCCCTGCTTGCTGATCCTTTTGATGCCAAACCCTTGGATATAATCGTTTTCGATGTACTACCAGCCTCTGATGGGAATGGTGATGGCCGAGTGACACTTGCAACAGAAACAAAAGAACGCAATCCTCTACGACATACATTTAAGGTAAGAAACATCCATCTGTTTGTACGATTGATTTTGCTTCTCCTGTGCTCCCAAGAAAACGAGAACGCCTTTTTAGTTCCAAATTATCTACGCTCCGTCTTAGGTGAACGATGAACATCATTCTGGTTCTACTCAATCTTTCTTTTGCTTTTGTTCTAGGGATTGTTAATATTCTTTGTCCAACCCTGGCATTCTTTTTATGTTCTATCGACTTTCAGAAGACCTGGGAAACGATATCTTTCATCCTCAATAATGATTTTCTTTCTCTTCCATCTTAACAATCTGAAAGCAGTTTTCAAATGCTTTATCTAGGGGAAAAATCACTGAAAAAGGAAAGTCCTTTTATACTGGTCATTTTCAGTGAAGAATCGTTCGACTTCCTTACCCTTTGGGTAACTTAGTAGGTAATTTCTATATGATGAAATTGTAAAGATAATTTCATGCGCTAACAGATGATTCGAAACTTCAAAGGTCACAAGTGGCAACCGGAGCGTAAGGTTGAGAGTCAGAACTGGTGCAAGAAATAAGGATTGGGTTGCTGCAATCAACGATGCCGGACTAAGGCCTCCTGAGGGCTGGTGTCATCCTCATCGTTTTGGATCGTTTGCTCCTCCCAGAGGATTATCTGATGATGGTAGTCAGGCTCAATGGTTTATAGATGGAAGGGCAGCTTTTGAAGCTATTGCTTCAGCTATTGAGGATGCTAAATCAGAAGTTCGTTCCTTGACCTGTTCAATCTTGTAGTATGATCCTTATTTATGAACTTGAAATATGTATTGGCTTAATAAATAATTTGCTTGCAGATATTTATTTGTGGCTGGTGGCTTTGCCCTGAACTCTACCTACGACGGCCATTTCAAGAGCATGCTTCTGCTAGGCTTGATGCTTTGCTGGATGCTAAAGCTAAGCAGGGTGTTCAGGTACCTATTTATTTGTCTGTATGTTGTTTAAGGTCTTAGTATTGGGGGTAAAAGAAAACAGAGCTCTTTGCTATACAAGGACTAGGAGAGCCTTTACTGACACTTCTGAGATTCCTTGGACAATGTGATTCTGAATTATATCAATAGTTCAATGAGTGTAATATATTACAAAATCTTGTGGATGCAGATTTACATTCTTATGTACAAAGAGGTGGCTCTTGCTCTTAAAATCAACAGTGTTTATAGCAAGAAAAAACTCCTTAGCATTCATGAGAATGTACGTGTGCTGCGCTATCCTGACCACTTTTCTTGTGGAGTATATCTTTGGTATGTGTTGTTGGAAAACCTTGTGACAGTAATTCAGACATAACATTTTCGTTTTTGTTCATATATTTCTTGCCAATAGAAGTGTTGCCTTGGTAATTACCACCTAATATTTTACATTTCATCTGTGCAGGTCACACCATGAAAAGCTTGTAATTATTGATCACCAGATTTGTTTTATCGGAGGACTGGACTTGTGCTTTGGTCGATATGACACAAGCGAACACAAAGTGGGTGACTGCCCTCCTGTTATGTGGCCTGGAAAAGATTATTATAACCCAAGGTAGTTTAATCTTTGCACTTCCTAAGTATGATTCTGACTTCTGAGTTTCTGTTTTTCCCATGGTTATTCTTAAGTCTAATGTATAGGAAACACTTAGTCTACCTCTATAGAGGAACAAAATATCAAAGCAAGTGATCCAAGTGGCATACTAGTCATTAAATCATTGCTAGGTAGAAGAAAGTTGGTCTAAATTGATAGGGTATTAAATATCCAAGCAAATTATCCAAAGTGGCTGATTTAGCACCAGGTTTTGATTACCAGTTCTCAATAAAGCTGTTCTAAATTGATAGGCAAGAGGTTATAATTCCAAACCATCCTGTCAAGCCCGTCTCACATCCGATGGATGCATAATTATCATATAATATTTGGTTCTACATTGAAGTAAATTGAAGAGTGAATTTATCAGTCAGTTGATTGCATTTACCATATGGATAGATGGTTCTGAATTAAATATTGCCTCTGAAAATGAAACGTGATTCGTTCTGCAGGGAATCAGAACCAAATTCCTGGGAAGATACAATGAAAGATGAACTTGATCGTACAAAGTATCCTAGAATGCCTTGGCATGATGTCCACTGTGCTTTATGGGGGCCACCGTGTCGTGATATAGCTAGGCACTTTGTTCAGCGTTGGAACCATGCAAAGGTCAATATTCTTTATTCAGATACTTCATTCAAGGCAGGCAAAATGCATGTGTTAGTATGTTACTGTGGTTGTCTGAACATCGGTACTTCCTTTTTTCCCAGAGAAGTAAAGCTCCATACGAGGAAGCAATCCCACTGCTTATGCCTCAGCAGCACATGGTTATCCCGCACTATATGGGCAACACATCTCCCATGGAGGTCAAGAACAGACTAGCGGATGATAATGGTAAAATCCGGAGAGATTCTTTCTCAGCTAGGTCGTCTTTACAAGATATCCCATTGCTTTTACCTCAAGAACCAGAGGAACTTGATGGTTCTATTGGAGGTGGCCCCAAGTCCAATGGAGTGGAAGCAGCATCTCTTAAAGCCTCCAATTCATCACGGAAAGCCAAAGTAGCACCATTATCTCCAGACATGCCTATGAAAAGCTTTGTGGACGACCACGACCCTTCAGATGTGAAAATTTCTCCAGTTTTGTGGACGCAACCTGGTGGTATTAGATCCTCTGATTTGGAGTGGTGGGAAACTCAAGAGAGAGGTGATCAGATTGGTTTTGGTGATGAAGAAGGGGAGGTTGGCCCACGTGCATCTTGCCATTGTCAGGTGGGTGCTTATTACTTCATGCAGTTGGTACACTTTTTGCATAAGCTAAAAAAGTGGAGGTAAAATAAAAAATATTGTAAAGACACTCCAAGGCATGAGTTGGATAAAAGTAACTGAGGCTTTGCACTCTCACTTACATATTTTGAAGATGGACCAGTATTTAACTTTGTTTGAGCGATGATGCTCTGGGGCTGTTTGCTTGGTGGTCTTTGCAGCGTGAAAAATGTTTCTACTCTTGAGGGTTTTCTTCTCTCACATCTTATTATATAGTAGATATTGCTTTGTTCAACTTCTGTATAATTTATGTTCTTTCACTCATTTTTCAGGTTATGAGGAGTGTAAGTCAGTGGTCTGCTGGAACAAGTCAAACTGAAGACAGCATTCACAATGCCTACTGTTCTCTTATTGAGAAAGCAGAGCACTTTATCTATATTGAGGTATGGCAAATCTGATATTTGATTGAAACTTTCAACAAATGATAGTTCCACCATTTGGTCAACTTACTGGTGCCAAAATAATTAATTGGAAACTTATCCAAAACCAAAGGGCCTGAGCATTGGGGAGAAGCATAAAGTTGACCCTCTGGTTTAGAATTAAACTATAAAGTGTTTCATGTTAGTTGTAGGTAAAACTGATGACGACAACTTGGTTGTAGAAAAGGGGATAAGTTGGATATGAAAAAGTTGTGGACTGAAGTAGGAACCTATTAGATACATGATCTTTTGCTGTTTGGCTCTATGTTGCCGAAAATTTGTAAGGAACTTGCATGAAAGCCGAAATTATTCATTGTATTTGACTTAGACTTAATTCTTGGATGGCTGTTTCCAGAATCAATTTTTCATATCAGGTCTTTCAGGAGACGACGTCATAAAGAACAGGGTGCTAGAGTCATTATATCGACGAATAATGAGAGCATACATAGACAAGAAGTGTTTCCGTGTCATCATTATCATACCGCTCATCCCAGGTTTCCAGGTTTATTTTCTGACAGTTCACTCCTCTGGCTTCGAAACATAAATATTCTGTATCGACATTAATTAACTGTTGTGTAATGTATTATTAGGGTGGTTTGGATGATGCTGGTGCTGCATCTGTGAGAGCCATAATGCATTGGCAGCATCGAACCATCTGCAAAGGACAACATTCAGTATTGCATAATCTTTATGAGCTTCTCGGTCCTAGAACACAAGATTACATTTCCTTCTATGGTCTTAGATCCCATGGTCGACTTTCAGATGGCGGTCCAGTAGCCACTAGTCAGGTAAACCATGTTTCACTTGTTCTTTCTGTTTAATGAACTTTCTCGAGTAACACCAGGCTCTTTTAACGAGGGTTCTAATTTCTGAATACACCACTTACAGGTGTATGTCCATAGTAAAATCATGATCATTGATGATTGCGCAACTCTTATTGGATCAGCTAATATCAACGATAGAAGTCTTCTCGGTTCACGAGATTCTGAGGTGCGTACGACTTAACCCTGGTAACATTTGCCTATGTGCATAGTTTGGGTCCATAAATATCAATGAACTGTAGCGTCACTATCAAATTAGCCACTAAACTTTGATTTTTAACGAATTGGTCATAAAAGTTCGGACCAACTAGCATAACAGGCTCTCTGTCAACTCCATATTCAAGTTTTCTGCCAAATTGACGTGTCATAGCACCCAAATTAACGAATTAGCTATATTAGGAAACTTCATCAGACATTGACTCATTGAAATCAAAGAAAACCAGTAAACCCCTCCCCAATGGTATGTAGTGGTATATGGGTCGTGGCGCTATGGTTGGATTTGATCCTTTTTGGTTTAAAGGTAACGGATTATCCACGTCAGTTAGACTTATAATTTATAGATTTTGGTGAGTTGGTTTTTTCTCCTTCTCTATTTCAAGTTTTCAATCCAACTCATCCAGATGATCAACATGCCAACTCAAAACTTGTACGGAGATGGACGAGGATTTGATCGGTTTTGATTCAAAAGGGATTGTCCATGAGATTCTAACGTGCTGCCATTGTAAACCTCAGATTGCCGTACTTATCGAGGACAAGGAGTTGGTGGATTCGTCGATGGGAGGGAAGCCATGGAAGGCCGGTAAATTTTCTCAGAGCCTTCGTCTCTCACTTTGGTCCGAGCACCTAGGTCTTAATGGTGCAGAGGTTAGTAGTGCGCACATACCTATACAGTTGTGATTTACAATTCGAAACTAATGCGCCATTTGGTTCAGTTTGCTGGTACTTCCATCTTATGGTTTGCCCTCTCCTCTATTATCCCCCCCTATATTCTCACAGATGAAACAAATTCTTGACCCGGTGATTGACACAACCTACAGAGACATATGGACGGCAACCGCAAGGGTAAGATCCATAAGCTAGGTAGTTTATGACTTTATATATTGATCTGTAGTCTGGGTTTCATTTCTGGACAACTCAGCTCTACACTTTAGAAAGATTCAAAAGAATTTTCAGTAACTATGAGGACTATTGATACGTTACATAGATCCTCTAATTAGTTATCGCGCGAAGATGAGAGATGGTTAGAGTCCCTTTCTGGTGATGTATGCTGGAATCGGATCGATCGATACGTGTTGGTTTGATCTGGTATTGGTCAAAATAGGTTGTCCACATCAGCTAATTAGGAGCTACTTCCATCATTAATTCTTTTGATTAACGATCATTCTCATTTGACAGACGAACACTGCTATATACCAAGACGTGTTCTCTTGCATACCCAACGACCTAATCCACTCCAGGTATGAACGGTTCAGTCCCCTCTTCCATTCTCATCTCACTTCGCCAAGAGCTAACATTTGGATGTCTGTCTCCACATTGCCATACTTTTACCAGGGCGGCGCTCAGACACAGCTTGTCGTCGTGGAAGGAGAAGCTCGGCGGCCACACGACCATCGATCTAGGGATAGCCCCCGAGACGCTGGAGTCTTACTTGAACGGCGACATCCAGGGCACGAGCCCGTCGGAGAGGCTGGAAGCGGTCAGAGGGCACCTAGTCTCTTTCCCCTTGGACTTCATGTGCAAGGAAGATTTAAGACCCGTGTTCAACGAGAGCGAGTATTATGCTTCTCAAGTTTTCCATTGATTTTGACCACATCACCCATTAGGGTTCTCAATACCCTGCGGTGCAAGGCAGCCCCCAGATGGCGGTGGGCTTCATTCGGGCTGTTTTTTGAGCCCGAAACACTCCTTTTTTTCACCTTTTGGTCCGTAGCCATTCATTGTCCTTTGATTTCAGCCATTTTTATATGTACACTTGAGAGAGAGAGAGAGAGAGTAACAGCAGCACAACACTACTAATTATAGGTCCATACATGTGAGAGTACCACGATAGTTGTATAGGCTTCACCAAATACACAAACATATCCGATTTTTCCCATCATTGCAAAAACATTATCTTTATGGCATTTGAGCACTAGAAGTCTAGAAGCGTGAAGCTAGAATGTTTGAATCATGATCGCCACATTCGAGTTGAACTTGTTTGATGCCCCCGTCAACAGTGACCTGTTCCCAACCTAGTTAACCGATAATGACACGTACGCTGATTGACTTGCGACCTAATCATCCCAGCTCGAACAAGATTCTACATGTGAGTAAGACACCTCTAAACAACGATCGATGCATCACTTGATTCGTATGTAACCATACTAGTCTGTAACTTGAAACCTAACCTATCCGGCTTGAAATCCAATTCTACATATAGGTGAGACGCCTCTAAAAATATCGACAAAATGCATCACTGGATTGTTCTGTATTCAAACTAATCTATGACTTCGGTCGACATAACTCGATTAGCTCCCACTAGAAACATACTTCCCAATGAGTCATCCACCTAACCCCACAGGTGTATAGACTATAAACCGAGTATGAATAAGGAAAGTTAGGCAAGTGGGATCGGAAAATCACTTACCACTTCCGACCACGTTTCTTCCCCACAGTCATCATGTTTTTTTTTTTTTTGGTGCTTTGCTGCAGATTTGCACCCTTTCGCTGTAGTATTACCCACGGGGAGGGATTTTCCTGAACCGAAGCAAGCCGCCACAAAGGGCTCCAAACTTACCACAGAATTGGCATACTATTATCATTGTTAAGTCACCCAGCGCATTTGCGTCAAAAGCAAACCTACCCACTTGCATTCTCATCCACGCATTAAAGAAAAAAAAACATGCTCCGTCGACATCACCAAGAAGAATGATGGCTGACTACACCACAAGCAAGTGGCAACTTGTCTCGTTGCTCCATATCCAAAAGATAAAAAAAATAAAAAAAAAAAGGAAGAAAACTGCGTGTGATGATAGCTCTTCTTCCTAAGTTGCACTAATCATAAAAGTAATGTTTACTTATTGACATGGATTTGGTGGTTTTGGTGACTCAAATGTCAAACTTTTCTTGTTATATGGGGAGTGACGGAGTCAGGAATCTGAAAGAGGGGGAGACTGACGTGAACCGTGATAATTAGGGGAGGGAGGACTAACATATTACCAACTACTCTATTTTTCTAAATTTGACATATAACTGTACCTATATTTTAAATTTGAAGGGGGACTATAGCCACTCCTAACTTCAACCTAGCTCCTCCGCGATGATCACTAACATCGTTTCTTCTCTTTCTCGTAGATAGTAAGTTGAAATATAGATAGTTACAAACACTGGACAACTAAAAACAATAGCCGACAAATAATCGAATTTGTTGATGAAATGGTCTTTTTGTGCTACACTGCTATTAAATGTACAGCCTTATTAGTGTTGAATCTTAACACAGTTTATGACGAATAATTCATGTTTAGAGTTCAGCAATCGTTGCCTCCTGTCATATTCCTTTCTGCATTAGATGAGATCTAGAGAGGACAAGAAGAACAATTTGAGGGTTAGTAAGAGTATCGGGAACAACACTTATGTTGCCTCCAGATATTTCTGTCTTTCTTCCAACTTCAATCTCTTGAACTTACTACTATCCTCTTCTTCTAGTAACACTGTAACCGGGTTGTGCAATGAGATAATTCCAATCTCTGTCACCCATCTAATCCAAATTGGTCAAGAAATTTCAGTTACTTTAACTGTTGGATAGTCCTTTTCATACTTCGATCTATTGGATGCTTTATTGTAGCTATGCCCTCATTACGTTGGGTGCAAACGCTTGATCCATTTCACATTTTATTATTATTATTATTTAAAACTCGGTTTAGATTCCTTGAAATTACTAAAATTACATCTTCATAAAAGTTGTGATCGAAAGTTCGGATTTGAACTTACGATCTTTCTTGAATGAGTCCAATACATTAATAATTCGAACCAATATTCAAAGGTGAAACTTAAAACAAAATTTGATTATTACGTGACATTTGAAAGGAAAAAAACAGAAAAAAGAATCTCATATAGATTGCCGTCAATTGCAGCCAAGCCATAAATTTAATTTGCCTCACCTTCATATTGTGGCTCCTAATCACCCTATCGCAATCGGGGTGATTAGTTTAATCATGGAAGATAATACAAATTTAATGGGGAACAATCCCAACCATGAATGAGCATGGCCATAATTATTTAATTTAATCTCCTCCCATCATCATGATAGCACAATTTTGGTGGATTTTTTGCAAGTGGTTGACCGACTTCCCAATTTAATGAATAACAATAACAAAAAAAAGCAATTTAACAATACGAACCAATCACATCAATGGGAATCTTAAACTAAACGAATTGTTTGTTTGTTTCATTGTTTGTGTATCAAAAACTCGATGATGGTGGCCCTGACGAAATCTACTAACCCTTTCAATTGGAATGTTGTGGGACATTTACTAAATTACCCTTTTTGTAACTCAACCACTGGTACTAAATTCTTGACTAATCAATCGTTTATAATTAGAGAAATTGTACAATGCTTTATGACATTGGTGTTTTGGTTTAGTAAAATTTATTATACAAATTGAATTTGTAGCCATAGCGGTTTAGATTAAATTTAGTTTATACCTATACATTTTCCGTAAAAAGTATTTTATGGTGCAAATTGAATTTGTACTATAATAAAAAAGATTTTTATCATACAAATTAAATTTCAGTACATAAATGTACAAATTCTTTCATAATACAAATTAAACATGTACACTTAACGTTATAATACAAGTTCCATTTATACCTCTGCAAACAACCGTCTTGTCAAAGGGCTCACTATTAACCAACTTGGACCTATACCAAACAAAATGGAACATTTGCCTATGGTACTTGGAAATAGGCAGTGATACTTATTCCACTCATACATGCACTTAAAAAAATAGATAATGGCTTATGGTACTTTGGAATGGACGTTTTGTTCAAGTTATCAAATAATAAAAAAGGTTAATTGCATGATTGGTCACTGAGATAGTGAGATTACAAAAAACGTTCAAGTTTGGTCATTCTAAATATTTAAATCCATTGGTGATACTTCATTTTACAAAAACCGTTCACGTTTGGTCACTCTCCATTAGCTTCTGTCCATCTCCGTTAACAGAGTCCGTTAAGTGATGACGTGGCAGACGAAATCATCTAATTAGCACTATTTGACCCGAAAATATCTGACCCGACCGGCCACGTCATTGAAACCCGCCAGCTCATCTAAACCTACCCAACCTTGTAACCAAACCAGACCCGACCAGACCCACCAACCCAACTACCCACCAAGATTAAATCCCTAAATCAAAGAAAAATCAACACCTTCCCCTTCTCCATCCAACACCGCCTTCCTCCCTCCCGTTTTTCTTCCTCTCCACCTCCGAGACGACGAGGTATTAGACAAGAATGTCAAAGAAATGTATAGAGGTGTAGCAGGTATCAAACAAGAACCAAACCACTCTTAATAGAACGTAATACCCAGCAAAGCAGAGCAATTGAAGAAAATAGAGATCAAGATGAGCAATCCAAATCCAATCGAAATATGAAAAATATCACCAAAAGTCTCTTGTCAATCCAGCCGACTGATTTGGTATGAAGAAGCATAGGGAAGGAAAACGGTTGCTGCGTCACAAGGCGAAAAGCTCCAAATCTAGATCCTCCGTGCATCAAAAGATCTGCAAAACAGGCTTCAAACACCTGGGGAAGGGAAAAGGTCATCTTAGGTGGAGCTGAAGCATCTGATTTGGCGGTGGGAGAGCGATTGTGGTGGCTGATTTTGTATATGATGAAGGAAGAGGGCGGAGACGACGACATCAAGCAACAGTTGGACGGATTTTTTAGAAGGGGGCAGCGAGGGAGCAGGAGGAGGCGGGCATGCGGGAGGCGTCGACGACGACGGTGGAGGAGGGGGTTTCAAGGCGGGCACTTCTCGGAGCCCGGGGTACTGTTGCGGTTTCGTCTAGCTAAGGACGGAAGTCAGGGAGGTGTCTGATGAAGAAAAAGGAGTTTGAAATGAAGAAACAGAGGGGCTAGGGCGGATCTGACCGGAGGATTGAGTTGGAGAAAGAAAGGGGCGAGAGAGGAACAGAACGACACGGATCTGATCGGATCTTAGAGGTCTGCTTCAGAAATGCTGGTGGGATGGCTAGTCCTGCTGCTGCATATTGAAGCTTCAAAAAGGAGATCGACGCAACATAATCGTCGTCTCAGAGGTGGAGAAGAAGAAAAACGGGAGGGAGGAAGGTGGCGATGGATGGAAAAGGGGAAGGTGTTGATTTTTCTTCGATTTAGGGATGTAATCTTGGTGGGTAGTTGGTTGGTGGGTCGGGTCTGGCTTGGTTAGAGGGTTGGGTAGGTTTAGATGAGTTGGCGGGTTGGGTCAGACTATTTTCGGGTTAAATAGTGCTGATTAGACGATTTCGACCGCCACGTCATCACTTAACGAATTATGTTAACAAAGATGAACGACAACTAACGGAGAGTGACCAAACGTGAACGATTTTTGTAAAGTGAAGTACCACCAATGGATTTAAATATTTCGAGTGACCAAACTTGAACGTTTTTTGTAATCTCGGTGACCAACCATGCAATTAACCCTAATAAAAAATAATCAAAAGTGAGTTTCAACTCAATTTCGATTGTATCGGAATTCAAACAAATTTGACATAAGGGGTGTGGAAATCGAGCATATATTTTATATATAATAATAAATCTCTATACAAGTGTATTCGTGGCATATTAATTGTTGCTTAGCATATTATAGACAATGAACTTAAAACTATTATCACTTTCAATCGTTTAATCCATGTTATAGTCTTTGACAAAATTGATTGACCTTCGACAAGTTTTATTGTGAAAACAATACTTTTTTTTTTTACATTTTATCTGAGATTTGCTTTTATTACTCTTGTGGCATCTGAATCTGAAATCACATGATATATTAGATGACTGAATATTACAACTTATTAATTACTCGCAACGCATAATTATTCTCATACTTTTCACCATATTTCAACGTGTTTTGATCGAACTTTCGATGATCATATGTACCAATTCTATAACAACCCTTTTTTAAAAAGGCAAGCAAATAATATTTAATTTAGTCCAGAGTCCTACTAATTTCATCACTAATTTAAAAATTAATCACCCCTTTTTTAGGGGTACTGTCGTCATTCCCACAAAGCACACAGAGGTTACGCCTTAGAGCATCTCCATTGGTGCAATTGCATTTGCAATTGCATTTGTGATTTTTTTGACACAACACCATTTTTGCAAGCCAACTCACTTTACTTTCATTGTACCTACATTGGTGCAATTAAATTGCAATTGCATATGAGGCCTAAATTTTTTTAATGCATTAAAAAACAATTTTTAAATACCTTTTTATCCACATTGCAAGTAAGTAAAATAATACTATTCTTCTTTTTTAATTTAGACGAAATATATACAATTAATTCATAAAATTTTTATTACTAATTTATGAATACATTTTGATCTTGAGGATGGAATAGAAAGAATCTAGTACTCAATAATTATTCATACAATCAAAATAAAATACGATGAACTAGCACAATGAAAGGAAAATTAACGAGCTACTCGAAGACGCGTGATTTATTATATTCAGGAATTTGATATTTGTTTTGTTTCGACCTATCATTTCTTATTATATTTTGTAGTTTAATGTTTATGCATTTTAAATTACAATGGCAATTAACATTGAATAAAAGAATAAGTTAATATTTTCAGCAAATCAATATAATAATTTTGATATTTGTAGATATGAAATTAAAGTAATAAAAATTTAATTTTATTATTATATTAGTATGTATATTTTATTTTAATTAATAAAATTAGTATATGTTGCTATTTACTCCCATTGATACAAAAATTACAATAATACTAATTTAACACATGGTCCATGGAATTAATACAAAAAAAACTCCAATAATAATTAAATCTATGGCATATGCCGCCAAAAGTGGGCATTGAAATCAAAACAAGAAAAAAAAATTATAGCACAAAATCCACCGTGGCTTGCAATGCCACTTTCACTAGATGAAAGTTCCCATTTTTGCAATTGCCACTCACATGGGTGCAATGGGCAATTGAAATTGCAAGTTTGGGCCACGTAGGAATGAAAGTGGGGAGAGTCAAACCGTTGGAGATGCTCTTACGGTGTAAAGCTATAAACATTACGTACTCTTCCTTCCTCCCACAATCAAAAACTGCGAAAACAACAGAGTCCATAAACATAAACAAAAACAGACCGCAAAGAGCCAAAACCATAAAGGCAATGGAGCAGCAGCAAAACCAGCAACTTGAAATCATCCCTGCAAAACCATTCACCAGTTTGCCTCAATCAACCCAAATCGAGTTCCTTTCCTTCCACCCAGAGGTGGATAAATAAGTTAGTTAAGCACTAAACACCCAAAACAAAGAAGAGAACTTTGTGCTCTGTTTTCTCATCTCCAGAGCAACACAGGTCTGTAAAATTGATTCTCCTCTTACTCTGTTCTTTCCTTCTTCTTGTTTTTTTTTTGGGAAATGATCCGATCCCCCGTCGTCACTTTCAGAAAACTGGGGGGGACGTGGATTGCTAGGCTGTCTAGTTTTTGGAATTGGGTTGGCTTTGGAATTGGAAACAAAGAAATATGCTCTGTTTCAGAAAGGAGAAGAAAACAGAGGACAAAAAAACGGAGCTTTCTTTCTTCTTTTGTGAGTGATGAGTTTCGTTTTTTTTTGTATAAAGCTAACGCCTTTCTTCTTCTCCCAAACTTATCACAGGTGGGAGTGATCAAAAGAAGTAAAAGAAGAAGATGGTTCTGTTCCCGTCTTTCTTCAACGGGTTGGCGAGAACGGTGTCCTCCACATCGTCGTCGTTGAAGAAAGCCAAGAGCTTGGAGAAAGACTCCGCCGCCGCTGCCGCCGCCGCCGACGGCGGCGGAAAACTAGCTGCGGAGGAGCTGGCTAAGGATGCTAAACGAAATGAACTGATTCTGAGCTCCTCTGGGATTGTGAAGTCAACCAAGTCCAACAATTTCGCATCCGTTTGCTCCAGGAGAGGCCAGAAGGGCGTCAATCAGGATTGTCTCGTCGTTTGGGAGGTACAATTTCGATTGTTGGTCACAAAGTTCGAATCGAACAATGTTTGAAACACATCTAATTGTTGATCTCAAGTTCGAACTCTGTCAGCGTAAATATATTTTCGGACTAGTGAATGAAAATACAAATTCCTGTTCTTAATTGTGGCGATTCGGCTGCAGGAATTCGGGTGCCAGGAAGACATGACGTTCTGCGGGGTGTTTGACGGCCACGGGCCGTGGGGACACGTGGTGGCGAAAAGGGTTCGAGAATCGGTCCCGCCATCTCTGCTCTGCAACTGGCAGAAGACTCTGCAATCCTCACTCGACGTGGAGATGGAATTGGGACTAGTGAATGAAAATGAGGACTTGCTCCTCCGCCATAGCAACCAGCAGCATCGGTTCGAGATCTGGAAGGAGTCGTATCTCAAGACCTACGCCGCCGTTGATCAGCAGCTGAAGCAGCTGCATCCCAAGATCGACACTTTCTTCAGCGGCACCACTGCTCTCACCATTGTCAAACAGGTAACAACACACACAAAAAATGGTGGTTGAAAGCTCTGTTTTTTCTTGTTTGTTTTGGGGTAGAGAGAGTGGCATATACCTATGGGATCGTCACTAGTAATGGCAATGGGTAGGTCGATCGGGTGTCTCAATATTTATATTTATCACGCATTAACTCTGCATCTGATCGAGTAATACTCGTGTAAGTAGGAACTGGACGAATTGATTTTTTTTATGTTATTTATAATAAAACGTCGAGAATTAGCTCTTTACAAGAACACAAAGGAAAAACATTTTGTCAATGAATGAGAAATACAATAGAATGAATCATCGAGTCTATAATCTAAATAGTTAAACCAGTTTTAAACAAAATTGAGATGAAAATATGTTTTTATAAATGTCAAAATAGGAGAAATACATGCTTGATATTGTTACAAATAAGAAATAACCTTACAACGGGTCAAGAACAAAGTGGGTGAGCCATAACAACATTGTCGGAACCAATATCCGTGTCTTGTCACATGTTACTACGAATCGTGTAATACTCATCCAAGTCACATGTTACTACGAATCGTGTAATACTCATCCCAACAAATCGAGACAGATTGAATTGTGTAAGTCAGATCAGAAACTGTCCATCACTAATTGTCAACTCTATGTTGTTATTGCAGAGGAACCATCTGATTATAGCCAACGTGGGCGATTCAAGAGCCGTATTGGCCACAACTTCCGACAACGGCACCCTGTCCGCCGTCCAACTCACCGTCGATTTCAAGCCCAATCTTCCCCGTAAGCCCAATTTCCTCTCCTCCACTTTCCCATCTTTCCTCCCACCAATACCCTTTTCTCACATCCAATTTCCCCCCCTTTTATCACAGAGGAAGCAGAGCGCATCAAGAACTCGAGAGGCAGAGTGTTCTGCCTCCAGGACGAGCCCGGAGTATACAGAGTATGGCGGCCGAGCGGCAAAACGCCGGGGCTGGCGATCTCGAGAGCTTTCGGGGACTACAGCATCAAGGAATACGGCCTGATCTCGGTCCCCGAAGTGACCCAATTGAGCGTCACGAGCAGGGACCGGTTCGTGATTCTGGCGAGCGACGGGGTCTGGGATGTGGTGTCGAATCAGGAAGCCGTGAGGATTGTGGCGGCGGCGGCGGCGGCGAGTGGAGGGAGGGAGAAGTGTGCGAGGAGGCTGGTGGAGTACGCGGGTCGGGCGTGGAAGCGGAAGAGGGGCGGGGTGGCGATGGATGACATGTCGGCGATCTGTCTATTTTTTCATGAGGTCGAGGCTGAGGCAGAGGCGGCGTCGCCGGCGGCGACGGATGGTGGCGGTGTGGGGAGGGAGAAGAACGGGAAGTGTTTGGATTAAGGACGTCGGAGGAGATGTAAAGGGGAGTGTGATGTTGTAACTTGTAAGGGTTTGGTGATGTTTATGAAGTGGATGGATGATTCAAGGTTTTACTAATGGAAATTGTGTGGCAGAGTATAGTGAGATTCCAAAGAATGGAAAAGAAGGTTGAAAAAAAAAATTACATATTATTACAGTTTGTACTTCCAATAGTGTTTTTTTTGGGTCTTCTTGGCGTTTTTGCGGAATCGTATCGTAGTTGTACTGGAAAGGTCAGTCGTAACATTTTTTTTATGCTGAAATCGTGGTTCAACCTTTTTATATCGTCTATTGATTTCGTTTCCGTTTAAACGATTTTTTTACCTGGTAACCGTCGTACATTTCCTTGCTCTAAAGTTAAAAGATATCATATTTATAGATTATCATATATTTGAGCAACAAGTGAGTGTGGGAAGAGAACAGATACATAAGCGAGAGATAGATTGTAAAATTGTACGAGATGATGAAGGTTGTGTTAGAAACCGAACAAGAAAAATTTGGGTTATCGAATCTGGTTGAGTCGTGGACTAGGTCGATCTCTTTTAGACGTTCGCGACACTGCTTCATTATGCGCACAACATACTATCATTCGGTCGCCTCTAGGATAAAACAGCCACTCATTAGGTTTGCTCAGCGGTTTTGTGCGAAAACCGGAGTTCTCTGAATCTCACACTCTCTCGTGTTTATGCTGTATAAGATGTGTTTAGAGAGTCTAGGGGTCTGCTATTTATAGGAGTAGAAAACCCATAATATTCCATCTTTCTTTGAGAATAAATCACATTTTAATTAGGAAGATAATTACTTCTATAATTAAAATATATTATATTAAGATAATTAATACTAATTATCTCCATAATATTGTTTTTATTAATTATCCTTCTTATTTTCGTATATAGAAAGAATATTGAATAATTAATTCAATATAGCTTTCAAAGCTATTTATTCCCAATAGGTTATACTAGAAAAATTAGCTATAGAGTATTTTGTGATAAAATTGTGCCTCAATCATTACACATCGCTAAAATTCACCTATCGATTTAGAGTGATTTGTTCAGTCAGACCGTCGAATATACAACACATAATAGGTTACAAGATTTTTTGAAGGTATGATATGCAAATTTATCATGAATATGCTTGCGAAAATGTACGATCCACCTTATTACTAATGAATTCGACTGAATACTAGACTATAAATATACAACCAACATAAAAAATGGGACTTGTTTGTCTAAATTTCATAATGTAAAAGGGCTTGTTTATTAAAGTAGTGTTATCATGCAAGTGCTTAAGCTATTATCAACTGAAAAATCAGCAACAAATTTCTTCCCCCCTTATTTGTTGGGTTGCTATGCCGTGTTCTAAACCCCTAATTGTTGGTTGAATGGATTAATTATCAATGTAATATTTATAGAGTCAAATAATTCATTAATCAGTAATGTAATATTTTATTTTGTGATATTTAAAATATTTCGTTTGACTTATGTGATATTTGACCCGTGCTATTTGATAATATAAAAAAACAATTTATTTGTAAATGACTCACTATTCATGGGTTAATTGCAAGGTTGGTCACTGAAATTACTAAAAACGTTCATGTTTAGTCACTAAAAATATTTAATTCCATTCGTGGTCACTAAAATTAGTAAAACATTTCAAGTTCGGTCACTCTCCGTCCAACTCTGTTAACTTTGGCTGATGTGGCAGTCAACTCTCAAAATTGACCGTTAAATGTGTGACGTGGCACTTAAAAATAATAAAAAATTAAAATTTATATTTTAAATATTCCACCTAATTATTATTATCACTAAAAAAAATTAAAACCTAATTCTTCTACTACCTCCGCCGAACCCGCTTTCTCCTCCCAGACTCCACCCGGCGCCATCACGGTTGAAGGTCCGGCTGGTCTCCAGGAAGCGAACCATCATCGCCACCATCTACCAAATCATCAGCTCTGATCCTTTGACCTTTTCATTGATCACACAATTAAACGCCGGCACAGGAAACGTACTCGGAGGCGGCGAGGTGAAAAAAGTCGATCCTGCATACATCACATCCACGGCTTTATTAAACTCCTCCACCCTAACCTCCTTCCGAACCGTCTCCAGCTCCGGCCCAAACCGCTATGTGTATTTAGGAATTATTCCACAATTAAACTACGAAAATGCTATACTCTTTCAATATAACTTGAAGAAACAGAGTGTAGAAACAGAGTCGATAACTTGGGGAGTAAGTTGACGACTCACCCGGTCATCAAGAGCGGCAGAGTTTCGCCGGACGAACTTGTAAAACCCACGGCGAACCGCCACGCGGGCAAGCTTCTCCGTGCTGACGTTGGCGGCCCGGAGGAGGGAGAGGTTACGCGGATCGAGCGGAGGGCTCTGGAGGAAGAGGTAATTGCTGACGGGGAGCTGAATCACGGCGTCGCCCACGAACTCCAGCCGCTGATAGTTCCTCTGGCTCGGGATCGACGACGAGTGCGTCAGCGCATCCACCAGCAGCTCTTTGTTGTTGAAGACGCAGCCAAGTATTTTCTCCACCTCGGATACCGTGCCAGCGGCGCCGTATTGGTTGAAGAGGATCTGATCCATGGACCAAAAGGAGTTGCAGAGACACAGGGACTAATTCGATTGCAGAAATTCAATTGAATAGCTTTCCAGAAGGCAGTGCGATTTCAATCATTTAAGCAGCCTCAGGGAGGCAGACGACTGCTTTTTTTCAAAGAGGAAAACAGTGTCGGAAAGGCGACAAGATGAAGACTAAAGAGGCTACAGAAGACGACGCGATTGCGGAGCCACAACCGAAGGTCTTGAATCGAGCATCCACGATCTCCCCCGTCTTCTCATCGACCCTAATCTGCAGCTTCATCACGTCGCCGCAGGCCGGCGCCCCGACCAGCCCGGTGCCGACGGCGGGGTCGTTCTTGTCGAAGGAACCGACGTTGCGAGGGTTGTTGAAGTGGTCTATCACGTTCTCGTGATAGAATCGGGTAGCCACAGGGCAAGACGACGACGACGCCGCCGCTGCACGGCCCAAACACTTGTTCGCCGTTAGCCTCAACATCGTTTTTCGCCGGTAGAGATTGGAAAATTTCCGATTTGAATATGACGGAGGATGGATCATGGATGGAGGTTTTGCTTCTTTTGGGTGTGTTTGTAAGGGCTACGGCTGTTTGGATCGTATGGCGGTGGATGAAGGACAGGGACACGTGGAGGGAAGAGATGGTCCTAGAGGCTTTTTTTTATAGATTTTTTTAGTGATGATAATAATTAGGTGGAATATTTAAAATATAAAATTTTAAATTTTTATTATTATTTTTAAGTGCCACGTCACACATTTAACGGTCAACTTTGAGAGTTGACTGCCACATCAGTCAAAGTTAACGGAGTTGGACGGAGAGTGACCGAACTTGAAATGTTTTACTAATTTTAGTGATCACGAATGGATTTAAATATTTTTAGTGACTAAACATGAACGTTTTTTGTAATCTCAGTGACCAACCTTGCAATTAACCCCACTATTCATATTAGTCGTTTCAGTCAAAAGTGCTGGAAAAACTCCAAAAGTACCACTGTTAAAAAAAAAAATTTCCAAAAATACCACCCAACCCCAAAAAATTTCCAAAAATACCACCCTTTTTCAAAAACCGCCAACCCACCCAGCGGTTTGGTCGAAAAACGCTTGTCGGGGGCGCGGTTTTGGACCAAACCGTGGGCCTAGGGGGCGGTTATAAAAAAAAAAAAAAAATTTGGACCAAAACCGCTGGGTGGGGTGGCGGTTTGGCCCAAAACCGCCACCCCAACCAGCGGTTTGGTCCAAAAGTTCGGTCGAAACTTCAAACGAACGTAACTTTGCACTCGGGTATCCGATCGTAGCGATTTTTTTTTCATTTCGCATAACTTTTCAAGATCTACAACTTTTAATAGGATGAAATCTTCAAAACAGGAACTATTTGTGGATATACGGGACCTTGAGAATAACTTTACCTTTACTTTTCAGAAATCCATGTACATTTTGAAATTATGATTATATTAAAAGTTGTAGATCTTGAAAATTTATGCGGAATCAAAAAAAGTTCATAACATTCGGAGTTTGGAGCACAAAGTTATGGCCGCCCAAAGTTTGACGAAAGGCGAGACCCGGCGGTTTGCGGCTTGCAAGATCTCAAAAAGTTTGCGGCCTCCATTTTTTGAATCCGAATAACTTTTTGAGATCTTGCAAGTCTCAAACAGCCGGGTTCCGTCTTCGTCTCGAAAAAACGTCATTTGCCACCCCGAACGACCTTTTTTTTTATTTCGTCAAACTTTGGGCGGCCATAACTTTGTGCTCCAAAATCCGAATGTCATGAATTTTTTTTTATTCTGCATAACTTTTCAAGATATACAACTTTTAATATAATTATAATTTCAAAATGTACATGGATTTCTGAAAAGTAAAGGTAAAGTTATTCTCAAGGTCCCGTATATCCACAAATAGTTCCTGTTTTGAAAATTTCATCCTAGTAAAAGTTGTAGATCTTGAAAAGTTATGCGAAATGAAAAAAAAATCGCTATAATCGGATACCCGAGTGCAAAGTTACGTTCGTTTGAAGTTTCGACCGAACTTTTGGACCAAACCGCTGGTTGGGGTGGCGGTTTTGGGCCAAACCGCCACCCCACCCAGCGGTTTTGGTCCAATTTTTTTTTTTTTTTATAACCGCCCCCTAGGCCCGCGGTTTGGTCCAAAACCGCGCCCCCGACAAGCGCTTTTCGACCAAACCGCTGGGTGGGGTGGCGGTTTTTGAAAAAAGGTGGTATTTTTGGAATTTTTTGGGATTGGGTGGTATTTTTGGATTTTTTTTTTAAAACAGTGGTACTTTTGGATTTTTTCCAAAAGTGCTTGATTCCACTTGATATACTGAATCGCTATTCGTCGCCCTAATATTTAAATTTTATCGCCCTAAAATATACCGAATTGACATTCTTATCCCTAAGCCCAATTTCAACTTAAACCCTAAACAAAAAATCTCTTATTCCTGCCCAGCGGTGGTCGAGCCGAGCTCCTCCATCCTCTCACCGCTGCTGCCATAGCCGGATTCTTATCTCCGGCAGTGCCCATCTCAACCAGATTGTTTCTTTTTCTACTGCCAGTATTAAGAAGAAAGATAGTCACCAACAATAAAGTATTAAGGAGGGTGCCGCCTAATATTGAGTTAAGCCAATTATCATTGCAAACTCAAACCAATAATAAAATGTTAAGAAGAAGGCCGTCGCCCACCACCACAATACTCCTTCTATTGGCGGCGAGCAGAAGGAAGAAGAACACGAAGAACAGTGGCGGACCCAGGATTATTGAAGAGGGGTGTCGCCGATAAAAAATTATAAAAAATTAAATAATTAAATAGAAATTTAATAGAAATTACTGGAAATTCAGTTATAAGTTCACAACGTCATGTTTACTACGAATTATGATGATTTTTCATATCCTGAGATTTTTTTTTAAATATATTCATCGTTTAGGATGCAAATCAAACATTTTTCTATATACACAACTACATAATCATTCATAAATTAGTCACTCAACCAAAGAGAATCGACATCTAAAATCAAATTAAGTTAAAATAAATTAGTTTGCTACCAATCGGCAATTTTAGAAAAAACAAAGTATGCCTAAAGTAATATCATTAGCATTTTTTCTCTAATTCTATCAAATTAACCAAAATCAAACCACAATTTCCCATAAATATACGCGATTCACCTATTAATTGTAAATCGACAAGTTAAATTGGGTTGTGGGTTACTTAAAACAAGCATGCTTATTTGATTTTACTTATTATGGTTAATTATTAATTATGATGAATAACTTCATAACATTAAAACTATTGTCATATAATGAAAGTGTGTCGCTTATAATTATTAGAGCGGTGTCGGAAGTTCCAAATTAAAAAAATTTGTACTGAAAAAATGGAGGTCCTTCACAAAATTTTCGGGCGGAGGGGTGTCGGACGACACCCCTCCCCTTGCCCTAGGTCCGCCCCTGACGAAGAAGAAGGACGAGGTAGAAGCACTCCATCAAAGGGGTCCGCAGTAGGTGTCGAACGGGTTGAAAATTTGTCATCGGCGAGCTGGGGACAGATCGAACCTGTCCCGTGCTCGCCGGCGACAAGTTTTGAACCCGTCCGGCGCTTCCAGCGGCAGGTACAGAACATGCCCTTCTCTGGTCCAGTCGGGTATCTAACCTGTCTGGTTGGGCAGGCATCCGACCGGTCCAGGTCTGTTTTGGTGTAGTATATGAGTTTGTTTTGGGTTACATTATTTGAAAGATAAATAAATGAATTAAGGACATTAAGGTAAATTTAACTTAATTAGGGCGACGAATCACGAATAAGAAATTTTAGGGCGACGAATAGCAATGCCCCTTGATATAACCCTCGTATGTCAAAACTCATAATAGAAGGACTTTTTCCTATAAACAATATAGTCCAAGTACTCAAAATGTAATTCTGCCCCAGAAATTAATAAGGAATCTGAGTGGTGGTTCGCGAGTCGTGACTCGTGAGCTTGGAACCCTAGTTTCACTTTCCCGCCTCACTTCCCTCCGCTCGGCCGCCGATGGAGACGACGGAGACTACCGAAATTGCGTCGACCGGCCAACGTCAGTTTCCGAAGCCGGCAATCGACAACAGGATCAGTTCACCACCGGACGAAATCCTCTCCTACATCCTTTCCTTCCTCCAAACGGAGTACGCCGTTCGCACCTCGGTCCTGAGCCGGCGGTGGAAGGACGCGTGGACTAGGGTTTACAGTCTCGATCTCGCGCAGCCCTACAGCTGCTTGAAGAACACAGACAATCATGATGAGATTCGAGAGCTCGAGTTTCAGTTTTTCCGCAACGTCGCGAGGGTTCTGAGCCAGCACAAGAATCTCAATTCCCTGAGGTGTTTGGATGGATTCCTCGGCAGCAAGGCGAGTCCCAATTTCTGGTTGAGGATGATGTTGGCGTCGAGCGCGAGATGCCTACTCGGCTGTTCGTCTCCAAATCCCTAACCTGAAACCCTAATTCGATCTTTTGGTAGAACAAGTGAGAAGGTGAATGGAAAATAAAACCACAGTAACTTAACAGACAATATAATGCTTCCTTGTTTTATTAACACTCGATCAACCTTGGGCCGAAACTAAAGCCCACTTCTGTGTTTTACTCAGTTGGTGTGTTTCACTCAAAAAAGTGCTGCGTTTTATTTAAAGTCAGCAACTTGGATCGATTCACCCAAGAATCTTGTTCCCCTGTTTGAGCAGTTCTTCACAAACCTGCAGAAAACCAAGAACACCAACCCAGCAGAAAGTAAAGTGCAGAGACAGAAAAAACACAGAACCTTTTTACGTGGTTTCCAGTATTGGGTTAAAGATGTTCCCAATACTGACTATTCCACGGACGGATAATCACAGTGTGTGATTTCCGACAATTCACTAGGATTTTGGTTTGTTGCTCCGAAACAGAGAAGACTCTCTTAGTTGAGATCACTCTTCCTATCCAGGCTGACTGATCTTAACTCTTCCTTTCACTCTCACCCCAGCTATCCAGCTACCCTTAAGTACAAGAACTCTCTCGTCCT